TACATCACAGAACACCCAAGGGAATGAGCTGAAAGGACAGGCGAACCACTTAGCACAACAGATGGGGCCCAGGAAATAAAAGGTAGTTGTCACTACCAGAGACACGATAACTCAGTTCTTCGTTCTTGGCTAAATCACTTTATTTTTTTGTTTATTGTTTTTCCAAATCACTTTAATATACAACTTTTAATGTACTCTATGAAGTCCATAATTTCTTGAAATTCTCACCTTGCTCCTGCAGGAAAACAAAAATGGAAAGTTTTAAGTACTTTTATACTTACTAATCAAAATCCACATTATTCAAGCATTTATTGAGCTCTGACCATGTGAGTAGCCTATAGAGGAAGAAGCAAAATCACGGTCTTTCAAAGGGTTTACATCCAGTCATCAACACAAAGTGTTAATGCAGGTGTGTATAGGAATACTAGAACACTTGGGAGAACACGGAGATTAGTGTTAGCTGGGCACAGGCACATAGGTTACACAACTGAATCTCTGAGACTTGGAGGCTGAGGCAGGAGGATCTTAAGTTCAAAACCAGCCTCAGCAACTTAGGGAGATCCTGTCTCAAAATAAAAAGGGGCTGGGGTTGTAGCTCAGTGGTAGAGCACTTGCCTACCATGTGTAAGGCACTGGATTCGATCCTCAGCACCACATAAAGATAAATAAAAGTAAAGGTATTGTGTCATCTCAACTAAAAAATTAAAAAATAAAAAGTGCTAGGGATGTGGCTCAGTGGTTAAGTGCCTCAGGGCTCAATCCCCAGTACCAAAAAAAAGGTAAATGAGAATGTCAATGCCTGAAGGTTTGGAAGGGAAATGGGATTCTCCTAATACTTCCCTTCTTTCAGTAAAGAATGGAAAATGGTTCAGGATGGGGGTGGCTCTGTGGTAGAGCATTCACCTACCACTTGCGAATTGAGGGCCAAGCTTCAATCCCCAGCATCGCAAAAAAAATGAAAGGCCTTAACCCTTTGTAGTTCAAACAATTTCCATATACTTAAATTCCACAGTTACAGACCCATATGCTGGATCTTTCCATTTAAATGGTGAGAAAAGGGAGGACACTGTTTTTGTTACTACATACCATAAACTCCCTGTCTTGTTTACTCACCACTGTATTCCTGGACCTGGCACAGAATTGGTCTTTCTGTTGTGATTCTGTGTTGGGGATTGAATCCAAGGCCTCACACAAGCAGAACTAATATGCCTTTGATCAAATGGATAGATAAATGGGACCCTAAAACTGTAACCTTAAGGAAAACTAATTTTTTAAAATATATAATAAAAAGGAAAATAAGACCAAAAGGGCAGAAGGAGCACAGGTGAAAATAATTAAAGCAAAAATTAGATACATGACATGATTAACTGTGCTTCATGCTGCTAGAATATGCAGTTCCTTCAAGACTGTCAAAGGTACAAAATAAAAACAAATATTCATGACAAAAAGGTAAAGAATAACTTAGAAATAGGAACTTAGGGAATACTTACTTGGAAAGAGCTGAGTGTACACTTTCAGTCTTCATCATCAGGAGGGATACCTAATTCCTCATCTGTCCACTGGGAAGGATCTGGATATGTAAAATGACCCTAGTCACACCATTCAAAAGAAAAAGAAGTCAGGCATCTAAGCTAAATATAACTAATTAAATTTCAAAAGAAATCTTAGAAGAAAAAAAAAAAAGGAGTAAGGCTTACTGCCATATATACAGCCCTTAAGTACCACAGGAACAAATTCTCCCTTAATTAACTGTTGGCCCAACTATTGTTTAATCTGTTCATCATGCACAGTGGCCTGAATTTTTAAGTCTCCCCATTATGGAGGCACCAGCCTAAACCAATTTGTGATAGAATATAGGAGGAAGTGGAGGCAACACATTTCAAAGATACTGCATATCTGGACAATGTCTTAAATATAAATGTTTCCAACTCCTGTCATTCCTACTATGAGATCTGGGAGCCTCAGGTTGATGTCAGCATCGTCAATCCTCACCTAGAAACAAATCTGTCTGTATCATCTCATGGTAGTAGCCAAGTATACTACTGACAACTGACCTACAATGAAACGGGTGTTTTAAACAGGAAATGTGCTGCCAGTTCACCTAACCAGCTCTTTCAAAGAATTATTTCTAAGAGAAATGGGATATAAAGCAACCTGATGTTTCCAAATTTGTATACCATTTAAGGTTTTTTCCTATCTTGAAAACAAACTCAAATGTACTAAAAGCCAAAGTACTCTGGACCCACAAGCACAGATTTCAGAAAAATTAACTCATATCCAAGCCATTCTAACTTGCCTCTGGAGAGACTGGAGAACACTAATAATCATTTAAGTATTTAATCCACCAATGAATCCGCAGTTTAGATGGTAAGAGAATTAATTTCTCATCTCCCTTCCAAATATGAAAACCTAACAAAAACCATAAGATGTGGACTACCAAAATGTACACGATCAGGTGAGGTCAAAAGGTAATAAGTTTCAGGCTGGGACTGTAGCTCAGTGGAAAAGCACTTGCCTAGCATGTGTCAGGCAGTGGGTTCAATTCTCAGCACCATATATAAATAAATAAAATAAAGGTCCACTGACATCTAAAAAATATTTTTTAAAAAGTATCATATATATTCCCACCCCCCACCAATAATCCCAGCGGCTCAAGAGGCTGAGGCAGGAAGACCATGAGTTCAAAGCCAGCCTCAGCAATGGCAAGTTGCTAAGCAACTCGGTGAGACCCTGTCTCTAAATAAAATACAAAACAGGGCTGTGGATGTGTTTCAGCGGCCCAGTGCAAGTTTTATTACCAATGGGATTCCTGCACACATATGGACAACACAGTAGTGAAGGGAATATATTCACACAGGAAATAATGGTCTAGAAACAGAAAAACAAACTACACTGTTATCCTACCTTCCCTTCCCCTACTCAATAAAGGACAAGAAACTGAAGTCTCTGTACTTACCAGCACAGCATCTGAATCATGCCAAAAGCGCCAGAGAATCCAGAACCACATGGTCGCACTGAAGAACTCACCCAGGATCACCTGGTATCTGGTCAGCTGGGGAAACTGCCTATACCGAGGCTCAATATGCACACCACCACCAGCACTAGCAGACAAAACCAAATGGGAAATGATTTGCTATGTTTTCTTGATACTTACTGGAAATTGAACCCAGTGGGACTCTACCACTGAGCTGCACATCCCAGCCCTTTTTATTTTTTATTTTGAGACAGTCTTGCTAAATTGCCAAGAATGGCCTCAAACTTGCAAATTCTCCTGCCTCAGCCTCCTAAATCTTTGGGATTCCAAGTGGGCACCACTGCACCCGGCTATATTTTCAAAGAAGTAAGCCGTCCAAAACCCTGAGTTACATCCTAGAAATTAAAGCTAACATTTCTTATCCCCTCCACCAAAGTACAGACAAAATGATAAAGGTTTGTAATCCCTTTCATTTAGCTTGCTTTAAATGTGCATAGCACACTAAGACTGTTATGTTCCACACTAGATTAACTACTACACTGAAACAAACTAGATAAGACACTCTGAGCAACCTTCCAAATCGAAAAAACTATCACAGATGAAATTAAATATATAAGGTATAAATAATATATAAAATTCATATATATTCCCACCCCCCACCAATATCACTGACCAGGCACAAAATTCAAGAGCAATCCAAGTAAAAACAAAGCCTGGAAACTAGTCAAGTGCTGAAGCTGTCATTTACCAACTGTCCTAGAACTTCCACCCTAACAGCTACAGGACAAAAGAGGCAGACTGAGTGAGACCAACCAAGACCAGCAGTCTAATTATTAGGCCCCATGGCAAAAGGGTGAATGAAAAATAAACCATGGAGAAGCCAGTCCTTAGGTAGATTTGCATCTGAATTCACAATACCAGGGTTGGCCTGTGGTCCCATAACCCAAGCCGAAAATTTAAAGTAATCTTGGATTGGCGGTGTCCTCAAGAGGCTACCAGAAGCAAGACCTCAAAGAATTCAAATAAATGAGCATGTCCAAGGAAAACATGCTCACAACCAAAAAATACATCAAAGTAAGATATACTATGAGTGAGTCCTGTAGGAAGGAAATAAATTGGGAAGAAATACCACCCCAAAAAATAACAGATCGAGCTGAAGACTCACGCCTGTAATCCCAGCAACTCCGGAGCCTGAAGCAGGAGAACCGCAAGTTCAAGTCCAGCCTCATCCGCTTAGCTAGACCCTGTCTCAAAATAAAAAATAAAAAGAGCCGGAGCCGGAGCTGGGGCTGGGGTTGTGGCTCAGGGGTAGAGCTCACCTAGCAGACGTGAAGCACTGGGTTCAAACCTCAGCACCACATAAAAATGAAATAAAGATATTATCCTCACCTACAACTAAAAAATAAACATTTAAAAAACAAAGGGCTGGGGATGTGGCTCAGTGTAAAGCGCCCCTCCGTTGAATCCCCAGTACCAAAAAAAAAAAGAAGCAAAATAGAATCGTTCCAACCTAGGATTTCTAAACGTCAAATTTAAAAAGCAAAAACGCCCTGTAGTCGTGAGATTCACGTTTTAGGGACATCCATCCATCAAGCCCTACTGTTTTCCGACCTTAAGACCTGCGGCTGCCCAGGATTCCCTCCAGGGCTCCGTCGCCTCCCGCCGGACTCTCGGGCTGTCCCGCCCCAGCCCCCGTTCTTTACCGCACGCGCCCCGCCCCACGAACTCGGCCACCCGGACGGACCACAAGACCCAGCGTGCCCCGCGCGGAGCCGCGTGCGCGCGCACCGCCCAACCTCCCGCCTCAAGGTGAGGGCGTCCAGACTCGGCTTGGGCCGTCAGTGCCGACGGAGCGCTCGCCCCGCGCCCCACACTCACTGGCGCACTCCGCTGCCTCCACCCGTCCGTGCGCAGCAAGCTCTGAAGAGGCGGCCTCCTCCGCGAGCGAAAGGCGCCAGTCGGGCCAGAGCCGACATGCTCCCAGCGTCCCGACAGCCGTCCCAGGCCGCCCGCCCTGCCCGCCCTGCCCGCCCTGCTTGCGTCACTTCCCCAGATTCCCCGCCCCGTGGCATCACGGGCCGTCCTAGTCCGCCGAGGGAGACGAAGTGCGGGGAGGCCAGATCCAGGCGTCAGCAAGGTACGGTTCAAAGAGCTCCTATCGGCGCCGGCGTAGGGAGGCTGCAGGCGAGCTGTTCTGGCCCGCCCGGGCGTGGGCTGGGCGGAGCCTGGAGACCTGTGACTCCCGCTGGGCGAGGAGCGTTGTCCACTCTCCCTAGCCAGAGAAACTCCACACTCACTCTGAGCTGGGTCCCCGTGCCCTTGCCACTCTCCTGCTTCCGCTGCACTGTTCTCCGGACTCCTATCCATAGGACGTCTAGTGCCGCATCCTTGCGGATCCAGTGGTTCTTCCAAAGTATGAGTACTTAGACTGGCGGGATCAGAATCCCTGAGACGCCCAGTCCCAGATACTCAGGATTATGAGTAGGGCCAAGGAATCTACATCAAGAAGGCTCCTAATTCTTTAGTCCTTAGGATGAATCCATTGACATTAATATATTGGGGTGGGGGGAGTAAACCCTGGAGAGCTCTATCACTGAGCTACACCCCTGGCCTTTTTGTTATTTATTTATTTATTTATTTATTTTTCAGAGTAGAAATTAGAAGTTTATTAAAGGACAGCAGAAAAGACTTCTCCCGGAGGAAGAAGGGGACCCAAGAGGTGGAATCCGTGGAAGGGATGTTGTCTCCCCTTTTTATAGTTCTTTCAGTGATGGAATGTAGGTGGGAAGGCCCGAGGGGTGGGACACAGGTGGGCCAAAGAAGTAATCTGGTCAGGAAGGACTTCTGAGTCAGCACCTTTTTGCTGGGGGCTGTTCATTGACATTTCTTTGAGGTGGACTTTGGCCTAGGGCCTTTTCAGGACTTCATTAACATTCCATGAGTTGTCCTGCGTTTCCCGGAATCATTGCCAGCATGGCCTCCATTTTAGATTTCACTCGGTATTAGACCCGATTTACCTAACTACACTGACTACCTAACTTTAAATCTGGCTTCATTCCCCCCTCTAAGTTGGGAACTCCTTACTGCTGTAAGGAAGGGGGGCGAAGAAGATCTTTCTGGCTTCTTCAGGCTGAAAAGGGACGATGTGGGGCAAGCAGTTTGGAGTCCCCCTTTAAAATCAAATCGGGTCTATCGAGTGGTCCATGATAAAAGTCCAATTGAGAAGTAATAGGCTGGAGGGCCATTTGAGTGTGGATGGTCTATAAGAGAAACAAGAATTCATTAGTACTGGAACCATATTGATGCAGCAATAAACGCCATAGCACAGGAATATGCCAATGAGTATGATGGCAAAGACAAAGACTAACAATGTTTTCCACCAGGAAGTACCAAGAACTAGGAGATAAGATATTGTTTCCATGACAAAGTTGCTGAGGACATGGCTTCTATCTGAGCATGTAAATCTTTAAGGATATTTGTCACATTGCGAGAAATGTCAGGGATGTAAACACAACATTTAACTTTTAGGGTTACAGATGTCCTTTTCCTTAAGATACAGTTTAATAATTTAATGTCATCTGGTCTTGTAAAATCCTTTTACTAGTATGACCTCTGTGTCTAATAGAGAAATCTTTAATTCTGTTACTTAGGGCTGGATAACCATACTTGCAAACACTAAGCCTACCTGTGCAGGTTAGAAATAAAGGCCTTAAACTAAAAACTACTCTGGCAGTTCCTTTTGATAGTTATCAGGCATTCCTGTCTGAGAATCTCTTTTGTAGCCTCCAGTTTACTTATTTTTGGAAGTTACATTTAACTATTATTATTATTATTTAAAATGTCCAGGAACAGCTGTGCTTTGGCTTTGACTGTCTTTGCTAAGTGTTTAAGATGAAGCAAGTCAAACTGACTTTGGTTTTTATCTATTGTTAACAGTCAGCTGAGCTTCCCTGGGAGTCCTCGGGGAACTTCACAGCAGCTTCTCAGTTCTGCTAGTGCCATTGCGCTAGGATGGGTCCAGGCCTTGCTTAACCATGTGGCTTCCCTTGGAAGCATCAGGGATGTCTCCCTTTTCTGATGACCCTCCTCTTCACAGCAAATGCACTGATTGGCTTTCTGTCCTCCACTGGTCTCATTAATCTCCCTGATCGGGAGGTTATGTGGCCTAGAGTTGCAAAGCTCTTTGGAGAAGTCCCCTATTCCCTGATTCAGACTGACTTAGAGGGCAAGAGCCAAATATTGGTTTTCTTGGCCCTTTTAATTTAACTTTAATTTTAAAACTTAATCTTAAACATCCAGCAAATAAGTTAACAGCCTTATATTAAAGAGCACTGGGCTTTAATGTCTATCTCTCTATCCAGTAGGTGATAACTCCTTATCTTATGTTGACCCAGGTTGTGTTCTTAAAGCAGTACCTCTTTAAAACATTAACAGGCAATCCTTAAACCATCTATAAGCAAACTACAACACAAAACTAACTAGGGTAAAAACATATTTAGCTTATATAATAGCTACCTTGAATTCTGGCAGGGTTATACATCATAATTCCCTGTTTGAGATCCTAGTAATCTTGGCAAAAAAACTACTTTTGGACACAACTTTAACTGTACTGAAATCTGGCCTACTTCTTTCATAGTCACTTTCACATGTAGTGAGATGGGACAGAGCCTTATCTCAAGTAAGGCAGGGCTCTTCATAAATCTTAAGTACTGTAGTTCTGAAACTGATCTTTGCTTTTTAAACATCATTTTACAAAGCCTACATAAATTGTTGCTCAAGTTCACATGAATATTAGCTAACACAATATAATATCACACCTAAAACATGAATTAAAGAAAAGCTGAAAGCTTTTAACCTTTTGTAGAAAAGTAGTAAAGTACTTTTGTGTTTTGCAATAAAACCTTCACACAGATTAGGCTCTCATTAACTTAAAAATTCATTTAAATTGTATCTCAGTGTAAAAAGTAACATAGAACTTTACATCTTATTGATAACAAGTCCAGTTATAGAACACAAATGATAAATAAATCTAACATGTTTCTTTTTAAGCCTAAAATTACCATACAACTTTGAAGCTTCTACCTTACAGACTTGTATACCTGGAAGATATGAACACATTAATAGCACCAATTACACTGATGTTTTTATATTAACCAAGTTTAGCTTTTAAAGAAATAACACAGCACAATTCTCTAAAACAACAGCACTTGTTTAACCAGCTGTTTAATTTCTTTAAGATTACTTGCTCAAAAACTTACACTTATAAGCAACTTACACAGACCTTTTTTATATCATTTACTTAAGCCCTCTTAATCATATAGACTCTTATCCAGAAACACATTTTTCCTCTTAAATCCATATCTAGAACCTTCTAGTTTCTCTTTTTTATCTGTTAACCTCCTTCTGTTCACATTTTGAAACAATACTTGTAAATTTTTGAATTTAAGCAGATTTAACATTAGGGCCTTTTTGAACATCTAGAAAAACTTATAAGCTTAATTTTAAAGACATCTTTACTTTCATCTGTTTACCCAATTTAAATTGAACCATTTGAATCACGTGAATCAAAGATATTTGGATCCATTTTTTAATTTTTTATGAGCGCTCCTCATCTGTCAATTGTCATATCACTGCATGATATATGGACATACACACATACAGACATACCGACATACAACACATAACACAAGTGTAACACAACACAATAGTAAAGGCCTTGTAGCTTTCTCAGGTGAAATCTCATTGCAATGTTTAAAAAAAAAAAAAAACTCCAGGTGATCAAAAATAGAACTTATCAGAAAAACATTAACTTGTCTGTAGGATCAAAATCATGAGCTCAAAAAAATACAGAATCTAAGAAAAAGCAAGAGTCCTAAAAAAAGATGACTGGCCAGTAATTAGTAAATACCATATAATTTACTTTTTGGTTGGGGTCTAGTTTGAGTTCAGGTAAAAAGATACTTTAACTCTTTTTTTTTTTCCTTGGGCCTGAAATCTGCCCTCTGTTGAGCCCCAGGCTTCTTCTATTTGCATATCAGCTTAAGTCCTGGCTGAGGTCTGGAAGGAACTGGGAAAACTGGAATTCTGAGCAGAAACCTCATGCCTAAGGCATTTTAACCATAAGTCACAATTTTCAGGTTTGGATGTTGAAAATTATGATACAAGTTTAAGATACAGTTTACAAAATTTCATACCTTTACATTTTCCTACACTAGAAAAAACTTGTTCACACAAAACTGAAAATAGGATCTTTCTTGATAATATAAAAGCCACCATCAGAAGAAATTCCTTCAGGATCATTAAGCTACTTCCTTTGTTCTGAAGTTTCTAAAGTAGTATTAAGTTACATTAAATCACCTGAAAAAAAAAATCTTAAAAGAGAACCACACACTACCATGTATATCCAAAATTAAGCTTTAAAAATTTAAGACTGTTGGCATAATTTAGGATTTTCCCTTAGAGCAAAGAAAATCTGAACATACAGCACCTCACACCATTTCCTTTTTTGTAAATTTTATCAAACTGTAAAATTGTATTAAAATTGATATTTCCCTCTGGTGGCCAGGTTTCTTCATCAGAGAGTTTGTATTGAGGCCAGGCCAAGAAAATGAGGCACTTTTTCTTGAACGTCTGAGGTTCAAATTTATCCCAATTTTTCAATACGCAGGCTAGTGGTGCACCTGGCGTATTGGAGAGAGAGAAGCTCCTGTCTGAGTGAGAAGAAAACAGGACTCAGGCGCCCACGCCGCGCCAGAGAAAACTGTTCTCATTAGGGATGTCTCCCTAAGTTTGAGCTTCCTAAACGGTCCAGAAAACCCGTCTCTCACCTTGCTTTGCCAAGGGGTTTCTGGTCCCCTTTAGCAAAGTGCTAGGGTCTCAGTTTGCCCTGTGCCAGAGACCCTGGGAGGATTCAGACTTAAGGGCATTACTGCTTATCCTCCCGGCCACTAAAAACCCATTGCAAAAGAGAAACATGCGCTCTTTGTTGCCTTTGCTCTGTAGACTAAAGGAGCCGCCTAAGTGTTAAGGGATATCTACTGGTTGTAAGGTAGCAGATTACCAGAGGAGTTGATTCTAAAAATGCCTCTCTAGCAGCTTAAGGAACACAACACATTTTAAACATTGGGGCGGTAAAACAGACCAGTTAAAGTTACCTATGCATCTTAGGGAACCTGGGCAGATTTTGCTAATTATCCCATGCCTTTCTCTCAGTCCTACAACCTGAATTGCTAACATTTCTGACCTGCGAAGGAAGGGGAGCATCCAGGAGGAATGGATGCGAGGTTGGGAGTGTTGCATGGCCCATACGGAGGCAAATGTGATTGGGGCTTTCCCTCAGTGCCATTCATCTACCGATCACCCTAGATACCCCTGAGGGCTGTCGGGAGGGGGCTCAAGAGAAAGGAACCTTAGGAATCCTCTGAGTGTAGCCCAGACCGGAATTCCGCAGTTGTTCCAAACTCCTTCCTCCACCTCCACGCATCCGAGGCAGATCGGGATTCGGGACACTGTGTACTCACGCCAGTTGCTCTCCAGGCCCAGACAGAAAAGTTGGAAGCGGCTTTGGCAGAACCCAACATGCCTGCTCTGTATTGAACAGGTGATTGAGAGCTGCCTAGGCCAGGAAACCTCTCACCCGAGTCTTGAAGAGTGGCGGCGGGTGCCCATCTTACCCTCCAGAAAGAAAGAGAGAGAAAGATGCACCTCAAACAGACATGGGGTGCATGCACTTACCTCGGTGTAGAATCTCGGTCTGGGACCTCCAATATGTTACCGCTGTTGACCGGTGACGAGTCCTTGCTTCCCCAATGTTGAAGAATAACACCAAAGAAGCACGCCGAGGCAAGGTCAGAGTAGAAATTAGAAGTTTATTAAAGGACAGCAGAAAAGACTTCTCCCGGAGGAAGAAGGGGACCCAAGAGGTGGAATCCCTTGTTATTTATTTTTTGAGACAGGATCTATTCTGGCCTCAAACTGCTTCAGCCTCTAGAGTCGCTGGGATTAAAAATCCGCACCCCCCACCGCCCCACCCACCGCGCGTGTTTCTGTCTCTTAATATTATCTTCTAGTCAATCTTGGATGGACCCCAAGCCTCTCTGGACTCCTCCCACCCCTAAATTCTTAAGGTCTCCCCAGATGGGTTGTAATTTATCTCGGAACCTCCAGGCTTGCCTAAATTATAAAAAGCTCTCAACCTCATACTTCAGAGATTTCATTTTGAAATGATCTTGCTAAGTTCCACAGTATTTCACAATGAAAACTTCATATAGTCACAAATATGAGAAATAGGATGCCTTTGAAGCGAAGTATGGACTTGAATTTGTGGATGTGACTGCATTGAATATGATACCATTTCTTCTGTGCCCAGAGAGGGGATTCATGTGTGCCTTTAAAATCTGTGTCCCAGGAGGTAAGGTCACATAAAACTTATTGCTGAACTGCCTCAGGCCCTTGTGAACAACCTTGGTTTGACCCTTTTTTATTTTTATTTACTTATTTATTTTGAGACAGAGTCTTAAACTTGCAGTTCTCCTGCCTCAGCCTCCTAAATCACTGGGATGGCAGGTACACACCACCACGCTCCACACTCCACGTCTTACTTTTACAGGTGCATTAATTAGAGAAAGGTATCCACTATTTTCTGGATGAAACTTGGTTTTCTGGTTTATTGCAATAGAATGGCTTTCTCTGGGCTACAACATTCACCGGTTACTCTTTATAATTCGTGCCCCCCATGAATCTTATGCAGGGCAGACGTGCGTGGACTGTAGGTGATGACCTGACCTTTACTATGATTGGCCCAGGGAGCTTCCTGGTTTAAGATAACTGACTCTCACTTTCTATATAAGCTAGCACCAGCTTGCAGTAAAGTGCTTCATCTTTGTCACTGTTATCTGTGTGTGTGCATTTTAATCTCAGACGACCAACCTTGGCCTTTCATTGGTGCCGAAACCCAGGAGGGGAAATTCCTCATTCTGAGGACCCCCTCTCTCAAGGTTTGCTGTCCTTGTTCACCTTTTTGAGCGCTGCTACATTCCACCCAACACCGGCTCTCCAATAGGTAACTACTTCTGATCGACAACCGGTGAGTCCTCCTCCCCCTCTTTGGGAATCCATCTCCAAACGGCTATATGCAAAAGGCCTTGACTGTGAACGTCCAGCAAGGCCCTTGACGCCTAGTTTGGAGGAGAGAACGCACCCCACCACAACTTTCATAGTTATGGTAGACTCTCTGGATTCCCATCTCATGGTTCATGAGCTATAAGGGACAGAAGAATAGGCACTCCCTGACTCTCTTTATCTCCTTCTCCTCTCTTGGAAAAACCCTGACGTCAGGTGGCCTGTGACTCCCGGCCTTAAGGTCTCGCTGGTTGGGCTCTTGGGTGACGACTCATTTGCCCTCCCGGCCCCGGCTCTCCCGAGTGTCTTTGGTTGACTTCTCCTTTTGGGGATGCCTGAAGGAAACTCAACCAAATTCTGTTCCAGTCCAGGCCATTCACCTCTTCTCTTCCTGCCGAGAGTCATCATGGGAGCCTCTTCTTCCCTCCCCGCTGATTCCCTTCTCAAATGCCGTCTGGCTAACCTCAACCGGTTGTCCCTCACTCCGGACATCAAACCCTCACTCCTCATCAAATTCAGTACACAGAATTGGCCATATTACCAATTAGACAACCAAAACTGATGGCCCCCAGAGGGGTCTCTAGATCCTCAAATTCTGCGTGACCTTTTTAACTTCTGCAAGTGCTCAAAAGGGTGGAAGGAGATCCCCCTATGTGGAGGCCTTTTCCCTCCTTCGCTCCCACTCTGAACTATGCTTCTCCAATAGATCCTCACCCTCAGCCTTCTGCCCCAGACTCTCTGCTGTCACCCTCACCTCAGCAACCTGATTTCTCACCTCTAATTACTGGATCAAAAAACCAAACCTCCGCCGGTTCTCAGACCATTGCCCCCTTGCTGAGGTAGCAGGTACTGAGGTACCCCTCTACCCACTCACTCCTCTCTTCTCCTGTCAGTGCCCACACCGGGTCCCACCAGGTCCTTTTACCAGCTAACCCAAAGCTCAAACCAGCTGAGGAGAGCCCTCAGACCCGTATCAGAGATCTGGTGAAAATGACCTTTAAAGTTGCTTTGTCATCACTGAAAACAGGTTACTAAAACTTTAATGTCCCTCACAGGCTTTTTGGGATACTCGCTCCCATCTTCCCCTCTGCTCTACCTGTTCTACTGCTCAAGTTTTTGTTGCTAGGAAAATCCCAAACCCCTTTTCCATTATTCTTTTATCTCTCCTTCCTCATTCTCAGATCCACCAGAGCTGGTCTCAGCCCCACCTTCCCGTCTTCCCACTCCCTTCCAGGCCCACAGAAAAGTCTTAACTGACCTTCTCCAGAAGTCTTCACCATGGCTGACTTTAGGACTTTCAGCAAAAGAGTCCCTATAAAAGAGTTCAGTGTAGATAAACTTTCTCTTTTCATGTTGTCCTGTTCTACTTGGCCACTGGCTGGAAAAATCAGCACTCCAAAAGCTAGACACCCCCTTACTCGTTTTTTCACAAAATATGTGAACAAGGCCTCTGGCCTTGAGCTGGGCTTCACAGAGATAGCTACATTTCTAAGATAAGGAAGTTACCAACTGGGCTCCATGGGAACAGCTGGCAGGGGGAGGAAAAAAAGAAAAGAAAAAGTTCTCCCCCTCCCAGGTGTCCTTGAAAAGTTAACTTGCCCAGAACAGAGAAAAAAAAAAAAAAAAAACTGCTTTTTGTGAACTTCTGCAGACTGTGAACTTCTGAGCCCCTCCCCTTACATGCTGGATGCAAAATTCTGAAACTACCTAAACTTGGGGCTCAGGGGATTAATTGATTACAACAGAAGCAGTGCCTTCTGAATCCGGTTGCAACCAAATAGGACTGTTTCCCTATCTTCAGTGCTATCTTAGGTGCCTTGCTTTGTCCATCCCTACAACAGTATAATTCCATATACTTAAAACATTGTTTATGTTTTCATGAAATGGTCAACAGATGTGATTAATTGTGTACTGCAAAACACAAAAGTACTTTGCTACTTTTCTACAAAAGGTTAAAAGCTTTCAGCCTTTCTTTAATTCATATTTTAGATGTGATATTATATTGTGTTAGCTAATATTCATGTGAACTTCAGCAACAATTTATTTAACTTTGTAAAATGATATTTAAAAAGCGAAGATCAGCTTCAGAACTATAGCACTTAAGATTTATGAAGATGGGGCTGGGGATGTGGCTCAAGCAGTAGTGCGCTCGCCTGGCATGCGTGCAGCCCGGGTTCAATCCTCAGCACCACATACACACAAAGATGTTGTGTCCGCCGAAAACTAAAAAATAAATGTTTCTCTTTAAAAAAAAAAAAAAAGATTTATGAAGAACCCCGCCTTACCTGAGATAAAGTTGTGCCTCCCATCTTACTACATGTAAGAATGACTCCAAAGCAGGCCAGACTTCAGGTAAAGCCCAGTACTCTTATTTTAAAGTGAAACTGACTTTGCTAGATGTTTATGATCACAATTTAAAGTTAAATTAAAAGGGCCAAGAAAACCAATGTTTGGCTCTTGCCCTCTGAGTCAGTCTGAATCCAGGGAACAGGGAACTTCTCTAAAGAGCTTTGCAACTCTGGGCCACATAACCTCCTGATCAGGGAGATTATTGAGACCACTGGAGAATGAAAAGCCAATCCGTGCATTTGCTGTGAATAGGAGGGTCACCAGAGAAGGGAGACATTCCCTGATGTTTCCAAGGGAAGCCACATGGTCAAGCAAGACCTGGACCCATCCTAGCGCAAATGGCACTAACAGAACTAAGAAGCTGCTCTCAAGTTCCCCCACGAGCGACCCCTGTGGGAACTCGGCTGACTCTTAACAATAGATAGAAACAGTTAAGCCAAAAAATCATTCCTAGGAGTAATGAAAGACAAAAATAGCTAAAAAAGAGGAGACAGCAACTAGGCCAACAGGCTCCATGGGGAATGTTCAGTCAAGTATGGCCTTGGCTCCTCCCCCTCACAGGACCCCTATTAGTCCTCTTTAGGTTTCTCCTAATAGGACCACTAATAGGACCATGTCTGTTAAACTGCCTACAGAAGCTCCTGCAAGATCAGATATATAGATTCACCAACCAGTCAGTCAATTAACTACTTCTTTAAGACTACCAGCCCTGGTGCCCAAGATGGAGACCTATGACTCATGACTAACTCCTCTGGCTCCAGAGACTATGTGCCCATCTAAAACCCTCTCTAACCCCTTTTTCCAGTTTTCACAACCCCTCTTTTACTTCATAGGAATGAGAACTACTCTCCAGCAGGTCACTCTGCTTATTCTGTCTGCTCTACAGCATCCCCACGAGGAAGCATCAAACCTAAACTCCCCACACCTCAGATGAGGAGCCACTAGCCAGGCAAAGACTGGCAGATCAACTCCACCCATATGCCTAGGCACAAAAAGCTTCACTACCTACTTACTTTGGTTGATACTTTTTCAGGTTGAATAGAAGCCTTCCCTACATCCAGGAAAACTGCTGACACTGTTGCCTCCATCCTCATTGAGCGGATCATTCCCTGGTTTGGACTTCCTGCCTCCATCCAGTCAGACAACAGTCTGGCCTTCACTTCTCAGGTTGTTTAACTAGTCTCCAAAGGCCTCAACATCACTTGGAGGCTCCATATCTCCTACCAACCCCAATCACTGGGTAAAGTTAAAAGGCCTAACGGCATTCTCAAGGATCATCTCACTAAACATGCTATCGAACTTAGGCTCTTCTGCCCAATCTCCTGCTGTTGGCCCTCACCTGAATTCAGGCAACCCCAAGGGCTCACTCAGGCCTTAGCCCCTTTGAGCAACTCTATGGGTGCCCTTTCTTAATCACCCAAATCTTTTCAATCACTCCTCCTCCCCTTGTGCCCCACCTGCCCTATCTCACACTTCTACGCAAACTCCTAAGGGAACACACAGACTGGTGCCTTCCTGCGCCATTCATTGCCTCAATCCCAGCACAACCACAAACTGAATTGGACCCTCTTCAACTGGGTGACTCCTAACTACTAAAGGAACTGCTATTATAAGTGCCAGCCTTATTTCTAATCTGCTACGAGCTTCCACGCTGCCTTTACAGCTGAGAATAGTCCACTGTAAAGCCCATCAGACCGACTCTTTTCCTGCCACAGTGGGCAACTCTAAAGCTGACCAGGTCGGCTGCCCTACAGGCCCCATCCTCTTCCTCATTACTCCATCTTTCCTCTGAGGAGCGACTTTCTGACCCTCACCAGCTCATTAGATTTCCCAATTCACTGTTCCATTCTAGCCCCCAGAGCTTATCGACTTTCCTTCAATCTTTTTTCCCTCTTTCCTCCGACGATCGGACCTTTCTGCAACAGGTTACATCCACATGCCAGATCTGCCAGAGGACCAATACCAACACCCCCTTAAAATCCAGACCCTATCCTTCTCATCAGGCCTGTGGTTACACCCCAGGAGCTGATTGGCAAATTGATTTCACAAACATGCCCAAGGTAAAAAACATCAAATATCTCTTAGTACTGGTGGACACATTCTCAGGGTGGATAGAGGCATTTCCCACATCCAATAAGCAGGCATCCACGGTTGTGGACCAGTTGATATCTGACATAATCCCTCGTTTCGGGGATGCCCACTTCCATCCAATCAGATAATGGTCCAGAATTTACCTCGCAGATAACTCAGGGGCTAGCTAGCGCATTATCACTCCCTTGGCATTGCCGTTGCCCTTACCATCCCCAAGCTTCCAGGAAAGTTGAAAGAACTAATCGGTCTCTCAAAAAACCCTCACCAAGTTCACCATGGAACTAAGCTTAGACTGGACTAAGGTCCTCCCCTTGGCCCTGTTGCATCTCAGGGCTTTACCAAAGAAACCATCCAACCTTCCCCCCCACACACCCCGGAATACAGACTGAACAATTACCTATACCTGATTCCTACGCTCTACCTCTCCTTTTCCATCTACGCTCTGAACTTTGGAAATACCAGGACTGGCTTTTACCTGACCCAACCATTACTCAAAACCCCCTCACCCTAACACCTGGCCAACAGATATATATATTACTGCCCCCCCAGGTGAAAGACCCCAACTGCACCCCAATGGGAGGGCCCCGCCTCGGTTATCATGTGCACTCCCTCGGCAGCAAAACTCAGACTCACAAATAATCAATTAACTCCATGGATTCACATTTCCAGGCTCAAACCATGCATCCAGGAAACTGATTCTGACAACATCGGACCAGAGGACTCGCAAGAATCCACACCTACATACTCTTGCTCTCCCCACCCTACTGACCCTTTAAAAATTCATCCTTCTCATGTTTCTGCCCTTACACCCAGAGCTGAGAACATATCCGAAAATGTACCTTAACTTTCTGATCCTCATCCTCATCCTAACCCCAAGGGTAATGCCTTCACCATCATATGTCTGGAGATTCAAGGTGAAAAAACATACAAACAAAAAAACCCGGACCACCCACTTGGCTACCACTTCTGACTGTCCCCTAACAGGGTGCTCCTCGGCCATTTATGTTGTACTCTCTTCCTCTTCCTATGAGCTCATTAAGCAAGCCAGCCGCCCTTACTTATGTTTTTTTTATATGACCAAAATAAGGATTACTGCTAATAGTGGCCGGAAACCTACAGAGGCTGCCCCTATTGGTCATGCAGAATTCATGATGCATATTCAGGGCAATTAAATGTAGGAAGATTTAAACTTGAGTCTGCCTCCCACCAATACAAGCTGACCATCCCAGACCCTGGGAACCCACGCTGGGCAGCAGGAGTAAAAGCTTCCTTCTATTGCGGTGGGTATGCCTCCACTTCCTGTGGTTCCTTATCTGTTACCTGGAATATGTTTCCATAGAGTCCCCAGTCTCTCTCGTCTCAACCAACACAAAACACTCAGAACAACGGCTGCTCGCATCCCTAGAAAGCCAATGCACTTCTGACTCTCAGGCTTCACTGATCTGTGCCAGGTTACAGATCATCACTGACACATTGTCCTACCTAAACCAAACTTTCCCCGCTGCAAGTCCAGCAAATTGCTTTCTGTGCGCTTCCCTAGCACGGCTCTTACTTGCCACAGTTCCAATAAAAGTTTCCAGCGCGGATGATTCCAGCTTGTCCAACTCATCCTACAAAAAGGATCCTATTAAACCCCTGCAGAATGTTCCTTTATGGGAACCTGAGGAAAATAACCACACCATAATTCCTCGGGTTTGCCTTCTGGGATCCGCAACTCCCAATTCCCTTCTGGCAGGTTTTTTTGCCACCACAACCTAATCATCAACCACAGCACTTACTCCCCACCAGGTCTCTTTTCTGGTGCAATGGCACTCTCACCACCATTATACTCTCCAACATGCCTAGCCCATGTTTATTAGTCACCATAGTTCCACAGCTCACTCTCTATAGCAACTCTGAAGTAAAATTCATCCTTAACCCTCTAAAACATGGAAAACAGGTTGCATTCCTTCCGTTAGTGATAGGCATTTCATTAACAGCCTCAGCAGCAAGCGCAGGGTTATCGGGAAGAGCCTTAGGTCATTCCCTATGGGCTGTCAAGGACATTAATTCAAAACTTAAAGGAGCACTTTTTTCCACAGCAGAATCTCTAACATCCTTACAAAAACAGGTCACCTCATTGGCACAAGTCACCCTTCAGAATCGCAGGGCCCTAGATTTACTCACCACCGAAAAGGGTGGAAACTGTCTTTTCCTTAGGGAAGAATGCTGTTATTATATCAACGAATCGGGTCTTGTAGAAGACAATGTTGTTAAGCTCACTGACCTGGCAGCCACCTTAAGGACCCCAACAAGTCAAAACCTTTTCTCTTCCTTAATGTCCACTCCCCTTCTGGCATGGGTATGGCCTATCCTTGGACCATTATGTGTAATCTTTTTAATGTGTCTATTTTTACCATGTATTATAAAGTTTATTCAAACTCAAGTAGGTAAAATCTCTAACCAAACTTTTAACCAGTTTCTACTTAGAAATTATCAGCTTCTGGCCACAGAGAATCAACCGCCTTCTCCAGAGAACATCCCTCTCAATGCTGAAAAACCCTTCAAAGGTTCCTGGGATACCTTCTTGAGAGCGATATCTGATGATGCCTGGCTTGTACCTGCCGTAGAGACTTATACCGACTGGACTGAAGTGATAATTGACCTTTGGCTACAGGGAATACTTTGTGATGTCACATCTGACCTTATACCAATCTTTGCAGCTCTCTTGTGGGGACTTCTAACTTCCCTCCTTCAGACCCCTTCCCTGGCGATGCCCCCACTCAGCAGGAAGTAGCCAGAACGAATCGATGTCCCTTTCCATATAATAACAAAAAAGGGGGAATGTTGGGAGTCTCCCTGAGAACTCCCCAGGCCTTTCAAACATGGCGGCAGGCAAGTTGCCAGTGGGCGGATAACAAGTTGTTTTGAAAACCTTCTAATTGGCCCTCCTGTCTTCTGTACACGTGGACAGTTCGTGCCCCCCATGAATCTTATGCAGGGCGGACGTGCGTGCACCGTAGGTGATGACCTGACCTTTACTATGATTGGCCCAGGGAGCTTCCTGGTTTAAGATAACTGACTCTCACTTTCTATATAAGCTAGCACCAGCTTTTAGTAAAGTGCTTCATCTTTGTCACTGCTATCTGTGTGTGGGCATTTTAATCTCCGACGACGAACCTTGGCCTTTCACTAATGACATGCAAACCTCTGAAATAGTCCATGAATTGGGAGAAAGCTACATGGCTGCTTGGCTCCCAGCAAAGAGCAATGCTGTGTTTCCAAGGCCACAAAACAAACACAGCTAAATTTTAAAACATATCATAGCAACTGGGAGCCCGAACATCTGGAGTGCAAACCTCAGCTCTGCAATTAATTCTATGAATTTGGACACGTCACTTTTCCTCTCTGGGTGTCAACGCCCCTCATCTGCAAGTGAGTTATTTAAGCTACTACCTGGCTCAAGCACATCAAAAATTTTCATTCCTTTGTTATGTCTTCCTTTCCGAGTACTAAAGTAATTCAGTAGAACTCAAATTCATTCACCCTCTTCATCTTTCTTACTAAATTTAAAAAAAAAAAACTCTTTAGACTTTAATGCTTGCTGTACTTAAAGCAATATATAGTTCAGGATCCACCAATGGTCTATAGATAGGTGGGTACTTTTTTGCATCACTTTCTGTTTTTTTAATATAAAGATTTTATGGTCTTAGCCAGATGTGGTGGTCAACAACTGTAATCCCAGAAACTCAGGAGGCTGAGGTTGAAAGGATCATAAATAAGGGCTAGGGGTGTAGCTCAAGGGTAAAGCAAACATGAGGCCCTGGTGTAATCCCTAGTCCTGGAAAAAAAGAAAAAGTTTATGATCCCAGTCAATAAACTATCTTAACCATGAAACAATGAAGCATATTTGTTTTCCAGACATGCTTTAAAAACTCCTAGGGCAAATATCCCTTCCTGCCTTACAGGGTACAGGAGAACCCCCTGTTTTGGTTGTCAGATAAGCATAGTACTTGATAGCCACATTTCAGAAGCTAAGAGAAGGGATGTCACACACCGGCACAGAGCTTTCAGCTTCTAAAAGCAGATCAAACTCCAGTGTAACACACTAGGAGAACAGACACCTAACCATACAGCACCTAACCCCAGCCTTGGTCTGAGATGAGAAGGGATGAAAAGAAAAAAAAAAAATGTTGACAAAACTTGATGCTGTCACAATACCAGACCTTAAACTATAGTACAGAGCAATAGTAACAAAAACGGCATGGTAGTGGCACCAAAATAGACTGGTAAACCACTGGTACAGAATAGAGGACACAGAGACAAACCCACATAAGTATAGTTATCTCATTAGACAAAGGCGCCAAAAACATATTTTGGAGAAAAGATAACCTCCTTCAACAAATGGTTCTGGGATAACTGTTAAATCCATATGTAGCAAAATGAAATTAAACCCCTCTTATCATGTACAAAACTCAACTCAAAGTGAATAAAGGACCTAGGAATTAGAGCAGAGACCCTGCACCTAATAGAAGAAAAAGTAGGCTCTAATCTTCATCATGTGGGATTAGGCCCCTACTCCCTTAACAAGGCCCCTAAAGCACAAGAAATAAAATCAAGAATCAATAAATGGGATGATTTCAAATTGAAAAACTGCTTCTCAGCATGAGAAACAGTCGGTGAGGTGAAGAGAGAGCCTACAGAATGGGAGCAAATTTTTACCTCACACATCAGAGCACTAATCTCCAGGATATATAAAGAACTCAAAAAACACTAAAAAAATCAAATAACCCAATCAATAAGTGGGCTAAGGAGCTGAACAAACATTTCTCAGAAGATGATATACAATCAATCAACAAATACATGAAAAAATGTTCAACATCTCTAGCAATTAGAGAAATGCAAGTCAAAACTATCCTGAGATTCCATCTCACTCCAGTCAGAATGGCAGCTATCAGGGCTGGGGTTGTGACTCAGTGGTAGAGTGCTTGCCTAGTGCATTTGAGGCCCTGGGTTCAATCCTCAACACCACATAAAAATAAATAAACAAAATAAAGGTATTGTGTACAACTAAAAAAGTTAAATATTTTTTTTTAAAAAAAAAAGCTAAAAAAAAATAAAAAAAGAATGACAGCTATCAAGAATACAGACAACAATGAATGTTGGTGAGGATGTGGGGGAAAAGCCCGTGGGACTGCAAATTGGTGCAGCCAATCTGGAAAGCAGTATGGAGGAAAACTTGGAATGGAACTACCATTTGACCCAGCTATCCCACTCCTTGGTTTCTACACAAAGCACTTACAAACAGTATACTATAGTAACACAGCCACATCAATGTTTATAGCAGCTCAATTCACAATAGCTAAATTGGGGACCAACCTAGATGTCCTTCAATATATGAATGGATAAAGAAACTGTGGCATATATACACAATGGACTATTACTCAGCATTAAAAGAGAATAAAATCATGGCATTTGCAGGTAAATGGATGGAGCTGAAGAATATCATGCTAAGTGAAGTAAGCCAATCCCCAAAAAACAAAGGCAGAATCTTTTCTCTGATAAGTGGATACTGATCCAAAATGGGGGGCAGGGGCAGAGCATGGGAGGAATGGAGGAACTTTGGACAGGGCAAAGGGGAGGGGAGAGGAAGGGAGCGGGTATGGGGAAAGGAAAGATGGTGGAATGAGATGGACATCATTACCCTTGGTACATGTATGAAGACACTAATGGTGTGACTCTATGTGTACAACCAAAGAAATGAAAAATTGAGGTCTATGTACTATGAATTGAAATACATTCTGCTGTCATGTATAACAAATTAGAACAAATAAATTAATTTTTTTAACTGATGCTTATCGAATTATCTAAAGGCTTACTAATCTCCCTGCGGGTAAGGAGAGGCTTGGAAAGAAGAAAGGAAGTCCTTCCTCCAGTAGCGTTAGCAACACTGTGGGATTCAGTTGAGATGTCTCTTCAGGAAGAGATGCCATGCTGCTGTGTTACCACCTCATACCCAGGGAAGTAGCCTTTTCTCCTTAAAAGATGACTTTATAAATCAAACATAGTTCTTAAGATACTTACTCTAACTTTGAAGATATTCCTCTTAATATTCTTATTTTTTAAATTGGAAAATTACTGTTAAGGTACATTTGTTACCATTTTTCTCCCCTTTGGAGTCTCAATTCCATGTTTTCTTGCTGCTGTAACAGATGGGCCCAGTGAGACTGCTCAGGGGATATCTTGAGCCAGAGGACCCAGTAAGACTGCACCCAGATTTCTGACCCAAAGAAATTGAGAGACAATAAATGTTGTTTTTAGTCACAATGTTTAAAGATGGTTTGTACTCAGTGACAGAAAACTACAACATCCCACAAATGGCTTGATTAAATCCACTGATGTAGCCAGGCATGGTGGCATACACCTATAACTAGTGACTCAGGGGGGTGAGTCAGGAAGATCACAAATTCAAGCCAGCCTTAGCAATTTAATAAGATCCTGTCTCAAAAAAAAAAAGAAAAGAAAAGAAAAAAGAAAGAAAGAAAACGACCAGGGATGTAGCTAGGTGGTAAAGCACCATGGGTTCAGTTCCTAGTACCAAGACCACAACAACAAAAAATCCACTGGCTTAAGGAAAGGGAGGCTCGGAGAGATGCCTGCTCTATTTGTGACCTCCTCTCACCCACAGGAGTAAGTGAATGTGTACTTGGCACAAGGGGCCATGTGTCAGGCTGTGCCCCTCCCCAGCCATCTGGTACCACCCTGACTTCTCACTGCCTGCCCACCTCAAAACTTGGGAAACAAATAGCATGTACCCCTCTGGGGAAAAAGGCACCAAGGGAATTTCTGTCCTAATAAACTACTTGTTCCCTACAAGAGAGAAATGAGGAAATGTATCCTGGTGAAGGAAAACATGGAGGGATCCAGTCCTGCATTCAGAGCAGAACTTAGAGCAGAAGCAGACTTTCTACCCACTGTCTCCAAGGTGAGCAACATACTCTGGTGGAGTACAGGGATAAAATACACTTAAATGCTATTTAAGTGTAAAGAGCTGGGCACAGTAGCGCATGCCATAATCCCAGTGGCTCAGGAGGCTGAGACAGGAGTTTTGCAAGTTCAAAGCCAGCTTCAACGACGGCGAAGTGCAAAGCAACTCAGTGAGACCCTGTCTATAAGTTAAATAAATTTTTAAAAAGCCAGCTTTTGGGACTGGGGATGTGGCTCAAGCGGTAGCACGCTCGCCTGGCATGCGTGCGGCCCGGGTTCGATCCTCAGCACCAGCACCACATACAAACAAAAATGTTGTGTCCGCAGAAAACTAAAAAATAAATACTAAAAAATTCATTCTCTCTCTCTTTAAAAAAAAAAAAAAAAGCCAGCTTTTGCAAAAATGATGTGCTAAGCAACTTAGTGAGACTCTGTCTATAAATAAAATACAAAATAGGGCTCAGGATGTGGCTCCGTGGTCCAGTGCCCTTGAGTTCAATCCCTGATACCAGAAAAAAAGAAAAAAGCCTAAAGAATTACATAAGCTTTACTAACATTCTCTCTACAGGCTGACCCCAGTCTTCATCATTCATGTCAACTGACCACGTCATACTGGCTCTGAGAGGACAGCCCATGGGAGGAAACAGTGTAGAGGAGCATGCAGTAACTGCCACCTCTTAGTTCACTTTGAGTGAAATTGGGTGCCACTGCAGACTTTAAAACCTTGGTGAAGAGGACATACTAGTTATGGTAACTATATATGGAGATGAACCAAAAGTAACCTTCACACATGGAGAGGGGCAAAACACCACTGCAGAGCAACCTCAGACTCAACAAGAATGCCCAAGCCAGGAACTATTAAGAAACAGGCAGGGCTGGGGTGGTGGCTCAGCAGTAGTGCACTTGCCTAGCATGTGCAAGGCCTTGGGTTCAATTTTCAGCACCACATAAAAATAAATAAACAAAATAAAGGTATTATGTTCAACTACAAATAAAAAATAAATGTTTTTTTTAAGAAAAAAGAAAGAAAGAAAATGGCAGGACTGGGTGCCGTGGCACATGCCTGTAATCCCAGCAGCTAGGAGGCTGAGGCAGGAGGATTGCAAATTCAAAGCCAGCCTCAGCAGCTTAGTGAGGCTCTAAGCAACCTAGCAAGACCCTGTCTCAAAATTTAAAAATAAACTGGCTGGGGATGTGCTCCATGGTAGAATGCTAGCCGAACATGTATAAAGCCCTAGGTTCAATCCCTAGAACCACAAAAAAAAAGAGAAGGAAAAATGGCAAGATGTTTTGGCTCCTGTCCCTAGTTGTCAGCCACATTAATTTTTGGTGTGGTGCTAGGGATGGAACCCGGGGCACTGGATGCTAGACCAGCACTCTACCACTTACTTAGCTATGTCTCCAGCCCCACTGTTTTGTTTTACCTTATAAAAAGAAAAAAGTTTAGCAATGGACTGGGAGACTGGGGATGTAGCTCAGTGGTTGAGAACTTAAGGTGTATATAAAATTTATAATTTTTTGTGTGTGTTTGTGTGTGTGTATGCATGGCGTACTTTCAAATTTTTACCAATAAGATTATATAATCAGGGCTGGGGATATAGCTCAGTTGGTAGACTGCTTGCCTTGCATGCACAAGGCACTGGGTTTGATCCCCAGAACCACACACAAAAAAAGATTATGTGATCAAAAAAAATATTGAGGCTATAGGATTTTTATCACTTTTTTTTTTTTGGACTAAGGATTGAACACATAGGTGCTCTAAAACTGAGCCACATCCTCAGCCCTTTTTATTTTTTATTTTGAGACAGGATCTTGCTAAATTGCTGAGGCTGGCCTTGAATTAGAATCCTCCTATCTCTGCCTCCTAAGTTGCTGGATTACAGGCATGCACCACAGGCAGGGCTTTTAGGGCATTTTCTAACCTAAATATCATCAGGACCCACCTGACCAGGGACTATAGAAGGTTAAGAAAAGAAAAGAAAAAAAAACAGGAAAATAAAATAACTGAGCATATTTGTCCTTCTCTGCTGACCATTATTCCTAAAATAGTATCCCTGGCACAAGGCCCCGCTTCCACAACTGAATGGACCCTTCCCTCCCTTGACTCCCCAAATAACCCAAAACTTTCTAAATAGACCCCAAAACCAAGTCACAGGGAAAGCAATGGTGTGCCCTCCACACACCCCAATTTTAAAAGTTCCAGCTGCCAGAGGAGAGGCCCTTGGGAGCAGCCTTCACTGCGTGCCCACTGCCATGGTCAGGAACAGGATGCTGGCCCTTTGAGAAGGAAGGGCTTTGCTGCCTCCAGGATGTCCAGCTTGGGGTCCAGTGAGCGGCCAAGCCCCTCCAACACCATAATGGCAAACACAATTGAGGCAAAGTTGCTCTCAAGCTTTACCTGAAACAGAAAAATAGCAGTTCTTCCTGAAACCGCCTGATAAAGATGGGTATCCTGGATAATCATGTTATTGTCCCCCCTCAGTCACTCTTGTACCTGGCCCACATGACTTTTACCATCTATCTAACATTCTTCCCAATACCCTGTCACTCCTCAATCCTGCCTTCCTTCTCCCAGGAATCAGAGCAGCCGGACAGGTCCAGTCAGTCCACTAGGGCATCAGGACAAGAAGCACCTGCTTCCTGGGTAGAGCTTTAACCCACTCAGGAAAGAGCTAAGTGTGACTCAGATGAATTCCAAGCCTCGTTAATGTGAGCCAAGGTGTCACCTACCCTAATCTTGGCAGGGGGTATTTGTTTGTTGTTATTAGTTTTGGGTTTTTTGGAATTCTGGGGATTAAACCCAGGACCTTGAGCATGTGAGGAAAGCACTCTACCAAAGGGCTATGTCCCCAGCCTTTCTAATCTTGTTTACCTGCCTGAAGGCCAGAGTCTCTCTTTAGGTGGACTAGCGAAAACTATCTTGATCTAAGGTGGCTTCCAGAGTGACCCCACGTAACCTGGAAGTTAATGCTAAATGACACACCTCCAGCACCATGACAGCTGACAATTGCCATGACTACAACCAGAGAGAACCATGAAAGGAGGAAAAAGAGTGTGGAATATGATATGTCAAGAAATTTGTAATGTTTTGAACAACCCACAATAAAAAATTAAAAAAAAAAAAAAGGAGGAAAAAGAGGTGGTGCCCCAATTGCCAGAAAAACCTCTCCCTGTTCTCAGAAAACACATGAAGATTCCTTCCCTTTTTTAGCCTATCCTTCCCTCTCTTTTTTTTTTTAACCCAATAGCTGTAACCTCCTGCATCCCAACAAGTGGAGAAGTTGATTTGTGAGTCTATCTCCAGCTTCTCCTTTTCTTGGCAAAAAACAAAGTCTCCTTCACAGTTGGAGTTTGGTCTCTGTTAGGTCCAAGATTCTGAGGGAGGACAGACCCAGCTGGGGGGAAAGTATGGTAACAAGGAGGGAGAAGTATGGAATGCCTGAGTTGGGCCATTATTGTTAAACTCGCTTTTCTACATCTAAATATCACAGATACTTAGACTGAGGCACAGACGTGACAGATACAGACTAACCCTGTGTTGAGGAAAGGCCCTGCTGAGCCCGCGGGAGGAGACATGCAGCGCTTCTCCTTGCAAATGGATGGTGGTGAAAGTGCTCTCCAAAGAACCCTGCCCACCCTGGCTTCCCCAGTGATGTCCCCTCAGACTAGGCCTCACCTTGTGAGCCATCAGCAACTTAAAGACACTGGAGAGAAGGCTGGAAACGTGAAGCTGGAAAAGAGAAGGAGCCAGTACAGACGCAGAGAACTCCAGAACCACTTCTCCCCCTTCCAGGACCCCATCCTACCCCTCTTCCCACCATGCTCACTCACACACACCAGTGGGCAGGAATAGGACTATCCAACAGACTCCAGGAAGGACACCACCCCATGATCCCCACCTCGTCACAGGTGCCTTCAGGACAAGCTTTGGAGGCCAGCCAAGCCATCCCTCAGTGCACACACAAAAATCACAACTGAAATGACATCAACAAAGTGCTACTGGCCATTTCTTGTGCTGACCTCCTCCTGCCAATGTGGGTCATGACCTTGGGGAGGACACAGGCAGGTTTTTAGGAATGTGTGTAATATACAGGGCAGGCTCTGGGCATATCCTTGGGAAACTCCCTCCCTACAAGCTCAGCAATCTCTGGAGCAACCACACCCCATAAAGGAGGTGTCTCTGCCACAGTAGCCACCTGGAGTACCCAAGCCAAGGAGTCAGAGATTGCAGTGGGCCTCCTTGTGCCTCCTGGAAGAATGGGGAGAGGAAAAGCTCTGTTGTCTTTTCCTGCCTAGACACTCACATTCGTTCTGCCAGCAAAGAAGCCTTCCCTAGACCTGGGACTGGTTCTGTCCATAGATAAGAGCAATGAGCACCCACTGGACCTGCCCACCTTCTCCAGAGTGATGGTATTCTTCCTGGCCTGGGTCACCAGTGCAGCCATCTCAGCCTTGAACCCCTCCACATCCCTGCACTCACTGGCCCGGGCATGATGAAGGATGAGTTCAGCCACTTTATGACCCTAAAGATGCAAAAGAAAAGAAAAGCAGCCTGGTAGAGTATACAAACCTAGACCTGGGAACTGGCCACAGTCTTTCAAAGCCTCTGTTAGGCAGCGGGCCCTGCTTGGCACAGTCAAGGCAAGGTGTACACACTTCTTTGCCTTCCTGGGCCACATGGGGCATACATGGGGCCAGACCTGAGTCCTGCTGTAATAGGGCTGCTGGTTTAGAAGGGAGGGCAGAATCCCTCCCTCTGCCCTTCTGCAAGGTTGTTACCTCTCCTAAATCCCTATAGTCCACCCTTTTGCCCAGGAGGTTGGGATCCATTCCCCTGGGAATAAGAAAAAAGAGACGCACACCCTAGGTGAGGAAGACCCTGCTCAGCACGTAGTCTTTCTGCCTGACTTCTCTTTTCCTCCATGTAAAAACCTTTTGCACCCTGAACCACATTCCCAAGATGGAGCTTGGAGGATGATAGCCCCTCTTTCTCCTTCAGAGCCAGTCCTTGAATAAAGCTGATCCCTTCCTACCAACTCTCATCTGCCAAATATTGACTTGTGGTGGTGGGTGTCCGCGACTTGTTCCACTGAGATTGCTGCTTATTCTCTGCTGCCAACCATGTGGCCCAGCACTGAGCCACGAGGTCCTTCCTGCTGCACTGGAGCAGCCAGGCTCTCTTAATGGGTTCTTCCTGCCCAAATAGAGCTGCCTCCCCTTGAAGGCTCCTGGGCCTTCTCCCTGCTCCCTTGGGACCATGCTGATCAAAACCCCCACAGTCTCTTGGGACATTTAGCCCATCCCCAGTGATCATGAAGAATGCCCATCACCTCCCACAGCACAGCTCCAGGAATGCTGCTCTTCCTCCTTGGGCTGAGACATTTGTCCTTCACCCAAATCTGTACAGAGGACTACCCTGGCCCCACCTTTACTGCACCTCAGGTCACACTTTCAAAGTGATTTCAGCCTCCACTCTCAGTTGTTCTCCTCAGAACCCTGCTAGGCAGCAACTCAACTTAATTTTGCATCTTTTTGACAGGAGAGGGGATGCCAAGGATTGAACCCAAAGGAACTGTACCACATCCTCAGGCCTTTTCATTTTTTATTTTGAGAAGGATCTCCCTAACTTACTGAGGCTGGCCCAGAACTTGCAGTCCTCCTGCCTCAGCCTCCCAAGTCACTGGGATTCCAGGTGTGAGCTACTGTGCCCAGTTGCTTTTTTTATTTTATTCTTTTTAAACCAGTTCTCTTTCACCCAGGGAAAAAGAGAATTCTTCAACAGACAGCCAGAGAATGTCTTCACAGTCACCCTTGACGTGGATTCAACAGTAAGTTCCTGAATGCCTCTTCTCTAGTAATAATTCCCAACCCTTGGAGCCCCTCCGAGTCATAGGGAAAGGCTGACAAACAACTCACATTCCCCACACCAAAGATCCCAGTGTGTCTTGACCCACCTTCTCTATAAGGTGGCTTCTCCCAACTGGCTGTCTTGTACCCAAAGGCACAGACCGGGACAGCCATTATTTGGTCAAGAGCCTGGTGTTCCTACTGCCTACCTGTGCATTTGCTGAAGAAGGAAGAGAAACTACTAGAATACAAAGTGTTTGAAAAGGAGAAATTCCTTCCAAATATTATGGGCCAGGCTATATGGGCAATGATCAAATAGAATCCATTTTACTTTGAGACTCCGTGTCATGTAAGAAATGCTTCTCTCTTGGGAAAATCCTGCCAACAGTTGCTTAGCATAACATATTTGGCAACACTAAATGGCAATTTTTATATACTGTACTTATGCAATGTACCCTAATCATATAAAATGTCAGAGAATGTTTGTCTAGAAATTAGTAACCATTTTTTAATTGTACTCAATTAAGGTCGTTTTGACCCACTTCCCCTTCTGCTTATGATTCTAGATCTCATGATCTTTGTGGTTTTATTTATTTTTTATTTTTTTAATATCTTTATTTTTCGAGGCAAGTGCTCTACCACTGAGCCACAACCCCAGCCCATATCTTTGTTGTTTTAAATCATAGCAACAGCTATCTTTATTTGTGGTTTTGAACTATGAAAGACTTGCAATAATCCCTAAAGGGGGTCAAAGAGTACAGACTTGCAGCCAACCTCTAGGCCAGACAGCTGGTGAATAAATTCCACCTCCTGCTCCAAAATTGACTTGGTGATTTATTGCAATCTCGCCATAACACCATGGTTACCAACCATAAACTGCTCAGAACTGGCCTGACCTGGGTGCCAGTAACGAAGACCCATAACACAGCTTAGGGTCATCTGCTCCTTTCCACTCCACTATGTCTAGCGGCAGCACCCTGGCAAACAAGGGCACTTAGAAGAATGAGTACATTGAGGAGCCCTGCATTAAGACAGACACAGCTCCCCAGAGCCTGAAAGATCCCAGATCCCACCCCAGCAGATCTCACCTGCCCCATGGCCACAGCAAGGAAAACTGCCCGGAAATTTCTCAGATCTGCAGCCTGCAGCTCAGCCACAATGCCAGCATCCAGCAGTACCAAGCGCAGGGGGCACAAGGCTGGCACCATGGCCACCACCAATGTGTCACAGACATCCACCTGCTGCAGCTGTGCCTCGTGGCTCAAGGAAGGTCCATCAGCACCCTGGACCAGGATGTTCCCAGGATGAAGGTCCGCATGCACAAAGTTATCTACAAATATCTGGAAAGAGATGACACCATTCAAGGCTGAGTCAACCCTTACCACCCAGCACCACCAAGCTACATGCAGAAAAGGCTTCAGGGTGACATGGTAAAGAGGTGTCCTGTTTCACAAAGCCTGGGGATGTTATCAGTTCAGAATGTGTGCAGGGACAAGCTAAGTCAAAGTTTTCAAGAGAAAAATTATTTTCAAAGTAAAGCAGACCAGACTACCTTTCAAAAGACTTATTTTTATTTTTACATTGTGACTTGATTCACTGATGTTCTAATTAAAAAATAATTATTCTGGGCTGGGATTGTGGCTTAGCGATAGAGCGTTTACCTAGCATGTGCAAGGCCCTGGGTTTGATCCTCAGCACCACATAAAAATAAATAAATAAAGATATTGTCTCCAACTACAACTAAAAAAAAATTAAATAATAATAATTATTATTATTATTATTATTATTCATTGTTTCTCTCAAAGTTCTATGTTCCTAAAATTCATAGAACTGTATTTCTTTAAAAATGGGGCTGAGAGGACTGGGGTTGTGGCTCAGTGGTAGAGCACTTGCCTAGCATGTGTAAGGCACTGGGTTCAATTCTCAGCACTGCATATAAATAAATAAAATAAAGGTTCACCGACAACTACAAAATAAAATAAATATGGTTGAGGACCAGGCACAATTGCACACACCTGTAATCCCAGCAACTCAGGAGACTGAGGCAGGAGGATTGCAAGTTCAAGGCCAGTATTAGCAACTAAGTGAGGTCCTAACAACTTAATGAGATCCTGCCCTAAAATAAAAAAATAAAAAGGGCTAGGGATGTTGCTCAGTGGTAAAGCATCTCTGGGTTTAATCCCCAGTACCAAAAATAAATAAATGGGTAGATAGATAAATAAATAAGGGGCTGAAGATTAGGTATATAGTCAGTGGTAGCATGCTTGCCTAGCATGAATGAGACCCTGGGTTCTTCAATCCCTAGCACCACCAAAAAAAAAAAGTTCATACAAGCCACGCAGGGTGGCAAACACCTGTAATCCCAGCAATTTAGGAGGCTGAAGCAAGAGGATCACAAATTTGAGGACAGCCTCAGCAATTCAGGGAGACTCTGTCTTAAAATAAAAAAGAAAAATGAGTGAGGATGTAGCTCAGTGGTAGAGCAAAGTTCAATCCCCAATATTACGGGGAAAAATTTTTTATATACAGCCAGGTGTTGGTGGCATACACCCATAATCCCAGCTACTCATGAGGCTGAGGCAGAATTGCAAATTTAAGATCAGCCCAGACAACTTGGTCCTGTCTCAAAATAAGATAAAAGGACTGGGGGTTTAGAATAGTGGTGGAGAGCTTACCTAGCATACAAGAAACCCTGGGTTCAGTTTCCAGAACCCCCCCCAAAAAAATTTACTATCGAGGCTCTTTGTCTGAACTCTAGGCAACCTAGGCAGGTCTTGCTCACCACAGTTTCCACAGCACACAGATGCACACTAGAGAGAAAGTGCTCAGCAGAAGCTGTGGTTCCTGTGAGCATTTGGTGGGCTCAGCTACCTTCAGTACACTTCCTCAACATGTGGCTCCCTGCTTGGCCCACCCTCCTTCCCAGATGCTGAGCAGAGACCCAGCATCTCTGATACCAATTTGACCATTGCGCTGGGCCTGAGCACCCAAGCCAGTCCAAGAGCTCACCATCTTCAGGAGCATGTTGATCCCCAGCTGCGCAATCTTCCTCTTCAAATCAATGGGAATTCCTGCCTGCTGGTAACTGGACACAGGCACGCTCTCCTTGGAGAAAGCCCCAAGAGAAAATAATTTTTTACCCTAGCCAGCCCACCCCATTCCTGCTGCTCCACCCACCCATGCCACATTAGTGCTGCCTCTCACTGACAGGGGTGACCCAAACAGTCTGATCTTTCTCAGAGCCCTTTGGAATCAGTCATCCACACGTTAATTTTAACCTGCTTACATTTCTCTTCTGACACTTTTCAAAGGACAAGTTTCAGATTTATTGGAAAGGAAACCCATCAGCTGTGCCACTGATAGGGAAGAGATGTTTGGTGCCCTGGAAAGAGACGGAACCAAGTATGGAGAAAGCTAGCTTCCAGTCAAGGATCGGCCAATAGAGCCACAAAGGAGCTCTGGGACCTCAACTGGTAAAAGGGGAAAGAAAGGGAAGCCAGAAGAATGGGGAACTGATAAATAAGCATTTTAGATGGCTTTGTTTAATTCATGGTCAAAGCAACTATTGAGATAGATCTTGTTATCCCTAATTAAATAAAAGAATAAAAGTCCAGAGTTCATGTGCCTTGCTCAGGTCACACAGCTAGGAACAGTGGATGAAGGTTCCCCTCAGACCCTGGATCTCATATTACCATCTCTACAGAGGAAGCAGGACCAAAGGAGAGTTAAGGCAAATGATGACACAGAGCACCTTCTCCGTGGTGAATGGTTTGCACTCAACGTGTCACTCTCTCCAGAGACGACCTTGTGGGGCAGGAACTGTTGCTCTACTTTCTAGGTCACCAGCAAATAATATGGTAGGTTTTTAAATCTAAGAAGTCTGAGGCTGTGGGCAAGTTCTCAGCCAACTCGCCACTGCCTTCCCTCCTGTCAATCTCCCAGCTCCTCCTGATTTTACAGGCAAGGATCACATCCTCTCCCAACTAAAGCCTTCACAGGGGCAGCCAGCTGCTGGAGTGAAAGGCACCACAGAGTCTCACTTCATATGTTTCCACCAACACATCCCTAGTGACGAAGGGGCGCAGAGGGGTGGGAAATTTGACAGATGTCACATCCCGGAAGTTACACTGGAAATGTTCTAGATTCCTAGCTTCATAACGTAGGTCAATCTAGAGAAATAGAGAGAAAAGATGAGGGCTAGTCTGAGCATGCAACAGTCACATGTGAAATGCCAGAAGGGGCAAGCCATGAGACTCACCCTGACTTTTCTACCAGTTTTTCTTGCACAACTCCCCAGGAAGAGCTGGGGATATAGCTCAGTTGGTAGAGTGCTTGGCTGGCATACACAAGGCCCTGGCCTGGGTTTGATCCTCAGCTTCACTTCAAAAAATAATTTTCCCCAGCTGCCCAGAAGTCCCAAATCTCCACATGAACTCTAAGCTGCTGCAGACAGCAGATACCCCAGAAGGATTTGAGCCACTCTGCTTCTGTGCTATCACCTTCCTGCCCACCCATCCCCTTTACACCAGCCAATGGATCCCCTGCCCCATCTCCCAAGAGTTTGGCTTCACTGCCCTCTTGGGCAGTCCAGTGACATTCAACTGGCCATTCCTACAGCCCTCTTCTTCTACTGGGGCTACCTCCACGCAGCCCAAGTCTTCCATCTGAAGGTCAGCCCTGCCCTCTACCCACTGCAATAACACTGCCACCACTAAACTCCAGTAGCTTGTGTTTGCCAGACTCAAAGGACTAGCCCCACTTTTTTTTTTTTTTAACAATACTGGGGACTGAACCCAGTGGTGCTTTGCCTTTAAGCTATACCCCCAGTTCTTTTTAATTTTTAGTTTGAGACATGGTTTCACTAAGTTGCCGAAGCTGGCCTTAAACTTAGGCTCTTCCTGCCTCAGCCTCCTGAGTCACTGGAATTACCAGCCTCACATTTTTATCTTTTGGGGGGAGGATACTGGGGATTGAACCCAAGGGTGCTATTTATCTCAGCCCTTTTTATTTTAAGACAGGGTTTCCATATTGTTTAGGGCCTCACTAATTTGCTGAGGCTGTCCTCAAATTTGCCATCCTCCGGCCTCAACCTCCCAAGTAGCTGGTATTACAGGCATGCACAAACCATACCCACCCACCCCCTGTTTTTTGCATCAGGGATTGAACCACCCAGGGGTGCTGAACCACTGAGCCACATCCCCAGCCCTTTTTTATATTTTAGAGACAGAGTCTTGCTGAGTTGCTGAGTGCCTTGCTAAGTTGTCAAGACTGGCTTTGAACTTTCGATCCTCCTGCCTCAGTCTCCCAAGCTACTGAGATTACAGGTGAGCACCATGGCACCCAGCTCCCCAACACTTTTTATGTTTTATTTTGAGATAGAATTTCACTGTGTTGCTTTCACTAAGTTGCTGAGCCTGGATTAAAACTTGCAATTCTCCTGCCTCAGCCTCCAGAGCTGCTGGGATTACAGATATGGGCCACCATGCCCAGCTGGCTCCCATTTTTATCTTAATAATCCTCTCTGGGCTCCACTATGGTGCTACTGATGCCCATTCCTTCCAAACTTCTCCTCTTCCAGTCACTGCCGTTCCCTCTTTGTGGGCCCCCTTTGCCTTTCTAACTGTCCATCTTGGCCAGATCAGTGCCCATGTCTCCTGACATCTGGCTACCATGCTGCCTGGACATGCCCCAAGCAGCTCCCCTGATGACAGCATCCTGTTCTCAGGGCCAGACAAGAATACCAGCCTCCAGACTGTCAAATTCAACTACATCTGGACATCACTCTGTGGAGGCCCAGAGACCTTTGAACACTATGGCTAAACTGAATTTACTTTGTCCAGTCCTTTTGTTCTCAGTCACCTATCAATCACTAGACCATACCATCTCCCCTCCCTCCATACCTAAGGTGATCCAGTGCCATCAACCCCCAAGGTGATGGTATCAGGGGGTTTTGAGAGGTGAGTAGGTCTTGGAGATGAAGCCCTTCTGAATGGTTTAGTCTACTTATAAAAGAGGCCTGAGAGAAACCCTCACCCCCTTCCACCATGCAAAAACACAGTGGAAAGGCACCACCTATGAGCCAGAAAGCTAAAAGACACCAGATACTGAATCTGCCAGCACCTTGATTTTGAACTTGGCCTCTAGAACTGTGAGAAATAAACTGTTGTTGCTTTTAAGCTCCCCATATCATAACAGCCCAAATGGACTAACATGAATCCCTGGGACTTAAAATCTTAAATCAGACGATACAAAGGAAGACTTAGTATATATTTGTTATACTATATATACTTTAAAATCCTTATCTTCTCACCAATCCCTGGAAACAAAGTCAAAAAAGACAAAAGTGCAACTTGGCTAATTACTCTTCTGAAAACCTACCAAGTCCTGCACCATCAGATTGGGTGCAGATGTCTACTGGACTCAGACTAGCCCCATGGTGTGTTTATGAAGTCTGGTTTATAAAAATGTCCCAAGAGTCCTGAACAGGGAAGAAATCCTTATCTTCTCACCAATCCCTGGAAACAAAGTCAAAAAAGACAAAAGTGCAACTTGGCTAATTACTCTTCTCACTCTGGAGTTCAGTCTCTGATGGTAACAGAGCTAATGCTATATATTCCTTCAGATTCATTTCAATTTTCTCCCAGTCACAAAGGAACATTATTTCCTAAGCTCCCCACAATTCCATGAGATCAAAGCCCTGATCTATACTGGGAAGAAGTGATGTTCCCCACTTCCAGGCCTAGTTACAAAATCTCTTCCATGATCCGCCAAGGCCTCCCATTTCCCCTGAAACATGCTGAAGATGTAGTGCAAAGCTTGGGAGGAAATTTGGGAAATTTGATCCCTGAATAACTATGGAACAGCACCCTATTTTCCCTCAGTTTAATTGTATAAAAGCAAGAAATAGCCTTGTTGCATGAAGCCTCTGAAATTTGGGTGTTCTTTGTTTTGTCAGCTAGTGTTACCCACACTGACTAAATATATCATGCTCACCACATACTGGGAAATTATTCATTCAGAATTCCCTAAGCAGCTGCTGATGGCAAGAACAATGTTAGCTGTTATTTACAATTGAGGGAAGAATTCACCTGTTGAACCATAAGCTTCTCAAATTCCTCCACAATCTCAGGCAAGCTAAGCCACTTGATTCCTGGCAGAAGTCCAAGGACTCGACTCCCAATCTTCATCAGCAGCAGGTCCATATGCACCTGAGCGAGCAGGCCAGGGTGCAATACCTGCCAGAAAGAGGAATAGTGAGACAGGAGGAGGAATCAGGAGGACACATTTACCTAGCCAATGTAGGGTCCCACCTTAAAAAGAGCCAAATGGCTTCTTCACAGAGCAAAGAAGTGGCCCCAATCCCCACTATGCCCAGGATGGTGGTTCCTTCATCCCAGAGATAGCAAACTCCAAATCCTCCTAATTTTCCTCCATCAGACTATTTGTACCACTGCTTCTGAAGTCCAGAAATAAAATAGCTTGCACATTACAGGTATTCAAATATTGGTTAAGCTAAAAGAAACAAAGGTTGAGCATCCCCAATCCAAAAACTCAAAACCCAAAATGCTCTAAGATCCAAAACTTTTTAAGCAGCGATATGATGCCACAAGTGGAAAATTACACACTTGACCTCATGTAATGAGTGGAAGTCATAACCCTGGTACACTAAAAATACTATGTAAAATTACCTTCAGGCTCTATGTATAAGGCAATATGAAACATAAATGAATTTCATGTTTAGACTTAGGTCCCATTCCCAAGATATCTCATTTGGGTTTTTTCCCACATTTTTATTGGTACATTATAGTTATACATAATAAAATGAGATTTGTAGTTACATATTCACTCTTGCACACACTTATATAATTTGGCCAAATCACTCCCCAGCATGCCCCCCTCCCTCTGTGTCTCCCACCTTCTGGTCTCTTTCCTCTACTGATCCCCCTTTGATTTTCATGAGCTTCCTCTGCCACACTTTTCTTTTTCCTTTTTCCTCTCTAGCTTCTGCATATGAGAGAAAACATACCATCTTTGACCTTCTGAGTTTGACTATTTTGCTTAACACATCTGTCTTTAGTTTCATCCATTTTCCTGCAAATGATATAATTTCATTTTTCCTTATGGCTGAATAAAACTCCATTGTGTATATATCGCACATTTTCTCTATCCATTCATCCACTGATGGATACCTAGGCTAGTTCCATAGTTTGGCTATTGTGAATTTTGCTGCTATAAACATTTTGAATATGCAAATATTTAAAAATTAAAAAAACATCCAAAGCACTTCTGGCCCCAAGCATTTAGGGTAAGGGATACTTAACCTGTGAATGGATAAAATGTGGGGGCGACTTGCATGAAGGCATGTTTCTAATTTGGGAGAGCTCGGTGGGTAGGCAAGAAATGAACTGTTTATCAGAGATGGAAAGGGCCTGGCTGAAGCACTTACTTTCACTGCCACTGGGATGAGGTGATCCGGGTGGCCAGAGGCCTGAGACACGACTGCATTTGATCCAACCAGTTCAGCTTTAGGCAGAAGCAGCCTTTCTAGAAATGACTGGTCAGCAAGATTTCCTGGAGACTTCTGCTCCTTCTCAAGGTGTCCTAAGAGCTCCCTGAGGCCACCAACCGCCCTAGCTCCTGAGGAAAGTTGCAGGCAGGCGGCCTGACCAAGTCTCTGATCCTTCTCCAGGAAGGCAGTGCTGGCGAACGCCTTGTACACCTGGGCCACGCAGCCTGAACCCACAGGTTCCTGGGTCTCAAAAGACAAGACATTCCCCCAGTCCTCCCCAAACGCCTGCCGGAGGAACTGTTCCGTATGGGTCCAGGGGTGAGGAGTCACTCGGACATGCAGCTTGGAGAACAGGGCACAGAAAGCCTCGGAAAAGAGATCGCGCCGAGTGCTGGCCCACTGACCCAGTTTAATATATGTTGGGCCCGAGGTCTCTGTGGCTTTCAGAAGTAGGTGGAGCCAGAGTGTGGAAAGGCTGGGAGCCAGGTAAGTGAGAGGGTAGAGGAGGAGGAGGGGAAAGAATTTTGCCAAGAGAGCACCAGCCCGAAGCCAGATACGGAGATGCAGGAAGACAGAGCTGAGCGGGCCAGCTTGGGAGACCCTCTCCATTGGCCCATTTTCAGCCAAGTCACTCCAGTGAGCCCTTCGCTGACACAAGCTGTCAGCGGGCCCCTCACCAACGTCCCCATAAGCTGAGATGAGTTTGGGCAAAGTGCCCAGGAGAAGCCAACAGAATCTGGTATTGCGATAACACCCCAAGGGTCGGAGAAGACCAAATTCCTTTCGGAGCTCAAAACACCTTAGATGCGACCAACAGAACCTAACAGAGACGCGCCAGGGGGTCACCATCTTCCCCGAGGCCCACAGCCTAGTCGGTCTGCTCTCCACTCAAGGGGCAGGCATCTGTGGGGACGCTGTGAGCAAGGCAGAGGGGAGTCCGTGGTGCGACGATGCTGCGACCCCGCCTCCGGGGAGCAGCCCAAGCTCAGCCCTGCCCCTTGTCCTGCCCCCGCAGGGCCACCCACGTCACCCCCAGGCCGCCCCAGGGGCTGCCCAAGCGGCCACGCTCCACACTGGGCTCCTCGCCTAGGCCTAAGGCCCGAGACCGGCCGACGTCCGACCCCCGGCGCCCAGTGGGGGCTGCCCGAGATGAAGCGACTGTCGAGCGGCGGGAGCCGGGACAGACAGACGGACGGTCAGGCCCGGGGCCGCAAGGGACCTGCAGAGGGGACCGCGGGCAGGGCGGGGCGGACGCAGGGTCACCACAGGCTGGGGCCGGCCGGCGAGATCGCGTAGGTGCGGGCCCGCGAGGGGCGGGCAGGGGCGGGGCGCCGAGAGCCGGGCCGGGAGGGTGTGCGGAGAGGACCGGCTCAGGAGAGCGAGGCACGGCGCAGGGCGGTGGGCAGGGGAGCCGGCTAGCAGGGGAGCGAGCTGAAGGGGGACCAGGGCCTGGGCGCCCGGGCGGGAAGGGTGCCGCGGCCCAGGGCTTCCGGGAGCTCCCGCAGCCCTGCCGCCCCGCCCCGGAGCCGCCCCTTAAAGTGGACGCAGCGCGAACACGGGCGGAGGTTTCCTGAGTCTCAGAAACAGAATTATTACTATTGCTGCAGCTCTTGTTATTATTAGTGAAATTTTATTTATTTATTTTTGCGGTACTGGGGATTAAACCCAATGACCGGGAACTTGGGATCCTCCTACATCAGCTTCCCCAGTCTCTGGGATTACGGGACTGGGCCACCACACCCAGCTTCCAGAAAGAAATTTAACGCAAAACAGAAGCACCTTCCCCAACTTCTCCTGTGACTCTCACCTCTGACAGCTTCTTCTCTTTCATCACGAATTGAAGGCAGGTTCTGAGCACAGGTCTGCTTTTCAACCTTGCTAGACCCCCGGTGGGGAGTGGGGTCCGGGGTAGGAAGGTGGGAGGTGTCTTGGATGGTTGGGAGTGCCAGACTGCAGTGATTTGGCGATGGCATTTGGACATGGAGGGGTGGCTCCAAGAAGGCCATGTTCATTCATGCAACTAATACTTTCTGAGCTCAACAAATCCTCTTTGACATTCATGTTGAATCTCAATAATATGTATTGAGCTAGGTATTGCCCTCCGCTTGAGGTAGTGGATACTTATGTCCAGCATTCAGAGGCTAATCACTTAAGGAAAGGTCCTAAATGTGCAATTTCAAAGTGTGACAAGATCCACCAGAGCAATGAAGACTAGGAGACACACATTGGAAGGAGCAGCTTTGGATGGGGGTGCTTCCTGGAAGGAGCCAGAAGAATAAAGTCCTAGCAGGACAAGGTGGCTTGGGCTGCAATCCCAGCAAGTTGAAGGCCACCTGGGCAATTTAGCAATTCCCAGTCTCAAAATAAAATTTAAAAAATACAAAGGGCTGGGGGCATAGTTCAGTGACAAAGAGCTTACCTAATGTGTGCAAGGGCCTACGTTCAATCTCCAGTACTACAAAAACAAAACACCCTAGAATAGAAAGGAATTTAGAATGGGTTTGGTTTTATTTTGTTGAGGTGGTAGGAATGGAACCTAGAGCCTTTTGAATACTAAGCAGGTACTCTGCCACTGAGCTGCATGCCCAATCTCTGATGTAAGATTTTGAAGTGTGTGTGTGTGTGTGTGTGTGACCTTGAAGAACCAAAGGGAGGTCAGATGACCCTGTTGACCAAGGGAGAGGGCAATGGAGCTTGGGAATCAGCCCTACGGTCACTGATGGGGCTGGTAATTCAAGCCTACAGCCATCTTCTCTGCCATTTGGCATTCAAGAGTCTGCCTGCCTTGTGCTACCATAGCTGTCTCTAATCAATACCCTTTATCTCCACATGGTGAGAGACTTTCAAAAGTCTAGTCAAGGGTGGTCAAGGGTTGAGAGCATCACAAGTGGAAGGGCCCCCAGGAAATGACCCATGTCCCATGTACACTGCTGGCAGTGTAATATACCTAACACTGTTGAAATATGGCCAGTCAAGCCAGGCACCATGGCACATGCCTTAATCCCAGTGGATTGGGAGGCTGAGACAGGAGAATCACAAGTTCAAAGCCAGCCTCAACAACTTACTGAGGCCCTGAGCATCTTAGTGAGACTTTGTCTCAAAATAAAATATAAAAAAGTGCTGGGGATGTTGCTCAGTGGTTAAGCACCCCTGGGTTCAATCCCTAGTACCAGAAAAATTAGAAATAAAAAAAGAAGAAGAAAGGAAATACAGTTGGCCATTAATATCTTCTTTCTCCTGAATCATTTACCTGCTTTATCCCAACGCTGTGCACAGAGGGCTGGGAATGTAGTTCAGTGGTAGAGTGCTTGCCTAGCATATGCAAGGCCTTGACTTTAATCCTCAATACCACAAAAAAATAAGAAGAAATGTGGGAGACTCCCCAGCTGGGTGATTGAGGTATCCTGCAGCAGCCATGCCAGACTGCCTCGCCCTTCTCTGTTCTAGGGACGGTATCTTCGTGCATGGGCGTTTCTTCCTAGAGCCCCATTGGTGGAGCTATGCTCACCTGTTCCTTTGTAATATTACCCCTTGCCCTGTTTGGGATAGAATGTTCCATGGAAACACCTTTTGTGTGTCCCCTTATCTTACTGTGCCTTTGGGTGTGGCCTACCTAGAGTCAGTCATCCTGCTGACAGCAGACATCAAGACTCAGCCCCCTGAAACCTGACCCCTTGCCTTATTTGAATAGCTTCTCCTCAATAAAAGGGGTCAGCTCTCTCACGTGTGCTGGTCCACTGGCTCGCTCTCTCTCTCTCTCTCTCTCTCTCTCTCTCTCTCTCCCTCTCTCCCTCTTTTGACCCTTAAGGTCAAAGGAGCCATCACCCCAAAGAAAAAGGTATTTCTGTCTCTTGTGTGGTTATTTTATGCAGCCCAATTAGCCCAGTTCCCCTGGAGTTACGCCTGAGTGTTTTAGTTGCGAGAAACCCGGCAAAAAAAGGTGCACAGAAGTCTCGTGTGTGTCTGATTTGCCAAAATGTTTATAAAGAACTTCACTTTTGTTATTTTTATGATACTGGGAATTGAATCCAGAGTGCTCTACCACTGAACTACACCCCCAGCCTTTTTTTTATTTAGAGACAGGATCTCATTAAGTTGCCAAGACTGCCTTGAACTTGTGATCCTCCTGCCTTAGCCTCCTGAGTCATTGGAATTATAGGCATGGGCCACCATACCTACTTGAAGACTTCATTTGAAACCACTGGCCTCTAACAATGTGACTCCAGGCAATTCTCTCTGGACCCTTGCTTCTTATGAAGCAAAATGGGGAAGTTCAATTAGCTCAACTAAAAATTCTACAAGTCCTCTATACATACATTTATGATTCTAGAAGTTGGTATATTTATCAGTAGTTACAAATAAAAATTCTGGAGCTCAATAAACCTGGTTTCAGTCCTGAGTCTGGGTTACCTTATCCCTTGGGCAAATTACTTAACTCTCTGAGTCTCCACTCCTCATTTACAAAGTGCAGGTTAAGAATAGTACCTACCCCACAAGGAGCAAACCAGAAGATGTCTATGGTGTGCTTAGCACCATGTTTCACTTAATGCTATCAAATATTGTCATTTTTGTTATCTAGATAAGTAAAAGTTGTTCTCCTTCTTCATATGACAGGCAGGTTCTCACAAATTTGGAGGATGCATTGTGGAAGATCTCATTTAAAATAAAGCCTTTGTGGCATCCTACAAATTCACCTAGAACAGAGGCTTTTAAACTTTAACATCTATCATAACAACCTGGAGGGCTGACCCCACCCCCAGTTTCTGATTCTGTAGGTTCAGAATGAGGCCTGAGAATTTGCATCTCCAGCAAGTTTCCATGTAAGGCGGATGCTGTTGGTCCTGGGAACACAGTTTGAAAACCTCTGACCTTGTCATGGTGGTGAATTTGACAGTGGTTAAGGGCCCCTGGGCTCCATCCCTAAAGAGTGAGATAGTGGTGGTAGTGATGGCAGTGGTCGTGATGGTGAAGGAGTAGCGCCATAAAGAGGATTACTGGGGCCTATGTTAGTTCATAGAATGATGTCATACATTTTAAGACATCACGGACAGCAAAAGCAACCAGTTATATCAAATATGTATGGTGTTTTTTGGGTGGTTGGTTGGTTGGTTGAGTGGTTGTTGTTATTCAGTGCTGTGGATGGAACCCAGGTCCTCATAACATGCCACACTGAGCACTGAGCCACACCCCAGCCCAGGAAAATCAAATACGAACCTCAGTCAAAATGTGTAAGGGCAGCCTTTAAAAATCACAGGCTTTGTCTTGAAGTGGAGCCACTTCTCATGTGGATAACTTTATGTGATCTGTTTCAGGATTAGCAACAGCAGGAATGTACATATTAAAGTGATTCATGAGAGGCTGGGGTTGTCACTCAGTTGCAGAGCACTTGCCTAGCATGTGTGAGGCACTGGGTTCAATACTCAGCACCACCTAAAAATAAATAAATAAAATAAAGGCATGCTGTCCATCTAAACTAAAAAAGATGAAAATAAATAAATAAAGTGATTAATGAATTAAGAGATTGACTATACAAAGAGACAAGAGCCAAACCACCTCTGATAGTAGAACTCTGACCCATGACTTCTGCCACCATATGCCCAGAACATTAGGACTTACTTGGTCAATGACAGCCACCTGCCCTAATTTTAACTCCACTTCCAATTCAGAATCAACCCTGGAGAGCCAAATGTCCTCTTCAAATCAATCATAAGATACCCTCACTTGCAGCTTTCCCGTGCCAACAACTTCTTACACCAGCGCACTGGAACCTCTTTTTGTCTCTGGGACTCTTTCCCACTAGCATTTGAGTCTCCACTTGTATTTGAGTCTCTTGTCAAATGTGATGGCAGCTGACTTCCTTGCCATAGGAAGCGCTCAGTAAGTGACCTATTTTTCCTCATTTGGGTATATGGAACATGCTGAAATCACAATCATTGGCATTACAGACTCTTCTCAACCATAGAAAGCCAGGCAATTATTACTAGTCTCCAATTCTTGGAAAGGTCCCTGCCTCTGTTCACTCTAGTCCCACTAGGTGGCACTCTTCCTCTATGAAGTGCGGCCGTGCTCCTCCGCTTCCAGACCCCGCTGGGAAGGGAAAAGACCAGGAAAGCCATGCAAAAGCCAGTCTGTCCTGATTCTCTTTTCATATAAACCTAATGATTGTGATTTCAGCGTGTCCCATATAACGTTGTTATATGGCAGATGTGACATGCAGCAAGTACTGAGTCCTGGCAAAGGAGGGAATTGGCTGGTCCAGTTCTCAGCCTCTGTACTTCCGACATTCCGGGCAGGATTGTTCTTTGTTGTGTGTGGAAGGGGGCTTTCCTGGGGAGGATGCTTAGCAGCATCTGTGACCTCTCCTCACTTGACACCAGCAACATCCCCTGTCTTATTCTGTTCAGGTTGCTATACCAAAACACCACAAACTGGCTGGTTTATAAAAAGGAAACATTTACTTCTCACAGGTCTGGAGGCTGGCAAGTCCAAGATCAAGGTAGCAGCTTGGGTGGGTTGTTTCTTCATCTATTAAAGAAGCTAGTATTGGGTCTTATGTCTTAGGCAGTCTCTGAGAAGCATTAATACTACCAGGTGCCTACTCAGAAAAAACTAGAGTGAAGATGTGAACAGGCAGCAGCTTTTGCCCTCTGCCTATCTGAGAAGCTGGAGTTGGGGGGATCTGAAAGCCTGCCTAGCCTCATCTCCCTAGCAACTGCCACCATAGAGAAAGGAAATGACTTTCCTGAGGTCACGTGCCAGCTTGGGCAGTCAGACATCACCTGTCTTGCCTTTGGCCAGTTTTTGTTCCCCCAGGACTAGGGGTGCTCTACCACTGAGCCCCAGCCCCAACCCTTTTTTATTTTTCTTTCTTTTTTCTTTTCTTTTCTTTAGACAGGGTCTTGCTAAGTTTCTAAGGGTCACACTAAATTGCCCAGGCTGGCCTCAAACTTGTGATCCTCCTGCCTTAGCTTCCTGAGTAGCTGGGATTACAGGCATGGGCTACCACATCTGACTGGCAATTTTTTTTTATTTTGGTTTAATTTGATTTGATCTGAATTGTAGGAAGTGGTCAGATATTAGGGCTTTCTGGAAAAACGTTCTCCAAGCAAGGTGTGTGGCCTCTGAGGGGCAGTGTGGTAATTTACAGCCATTTGGTGGTCTAAAGACTGAGATCACAGCCTAAGGAGGGTTTTAGTAGGGGAAAAGTGAGCTGGCAGGGCTCGAGCCAGCGGGTACAGTGCCAGCTCATGACCTTGTGTGATTAAACACTTCTGTGGGGATTCTTCCCTGCTCCCGAATCTGGAGAGATTGGCTGGTTGGACCAGATGATGGAAGATGTCTAGAAGCAGGATGTAGAATCTCTGTGCCCTGAGTATGGACAGCATGCAGAAGAGGACTTGGCTGTCCTGACAACCTATTGTCTTCTAGAATCACAGTGGACACAAAGAATGACAACCACTTCCCCAAAGAAGTGCATGCCTCTAAAAGGCATCCGGGTGTTCTCATTCTTGTTCCTTTCCTCAATGTTCAACTGGATCCCCAAAGGAAGCCAAAAAAAAAAGGTAAGTATAAAAGTTATTAAGCATTGCAGGGTTGATATCTGAGACTTTGCTTAATGGTAAATGACATGGCAAGTCTAGTCCATGACTTAGTTCTTTTTCATCCTAAAAACACTAATCCTTTTTTTTTTTTTTTTGAATTTTTTTAGTTGTAGATGGACACAATACCTTTATTTATTTTTTATTATTATTTTTATGTGGTGCTGAGGATCGAACCCAGTGCCTTGCAGGCACTTAGCGAGCGCTGTACCGCTGAGCCACAACCCCAACACGCTAATCCTTTTGATGTTATGAATACTTTAATTCTTTTTTGGAGGGAGAGGTACTGGAAATTGAACCCAGAAGCACTTTGTCACTGAGCTACATCCCCAGCCCTTTCAATTTTTTTGAGACAGGGTCTCCCTAAATTGCTTAGGGTCTCACTAAGTTGGTGAGGCTAGCCTCAGACTTGTGATCCTCCTGCCTCAGCCTTCTCAGCTGCTGGGATTACAGGTGTGTGCCATCCCGCTTTTTTTTCCCCCTTGGCATTGGGGATAGAACCCAGGCTTAATGTGTGCTGGTCACACACTCTGACACTGAGCAAAGTCCTGCTACCCACCCCTGAACACTTTAATTCTTCTTAAAAAAAAGAAAAGCAAACATCCTCCAAAGTAAGCTGGGGGGGGGGGGCAGGGGTGGACATGAAATAGTAATGGTTCTTAGCCAAGAGTTATATATTACTGTGTCATTGGCCAATTCAGAAATTCTCTGAGATTTCCTGACAAGTGTCGGTGACCTGGGGTAATAAACAAAGGCCATTTGCTCTACAGTACCCCCTCATCAGCCCCCCCACAGCTGCCCATCTTCCAGTCCTCACACAAGAGGCACCAGTGCATCCTGGAAGAGAGGACAAAGCTATCTCTACCAAAGACTGGGCCCCTCGCACCAGAGGAGGACAAAGGAGCCCTGGGGCCTCAGTCTGGGCTCTTCACACTTTGGCCTCTGTTGTGCCTCTCCTTCCCACCCTCCCACCCTCCTGGATTGCATCTGATAGGGACCAAGAACACACCAGCCTGGGGAGGAGGTTTGGGTGGATGCCTGACTTGGTTTTGATTCCTGGTGGGGGGGGGGGGGCAGGCTAGTGGCTGAGGTGGGATGAGGAGGAAAGTAGTAGCTGCCTGTGGAAGACTTGAAGGGAGCTGGCGCTGCTCTCCAGCTGGCTCCTCTAGCTGCGAGGCTGCCAGGGGCTTGGGGCAGGGTGTGAAGGAGCTCCTACAAGGGTGTGTGGAGATGAGTCTACGCTTTTCCCTGCTCCTAGGTAAGTTCCCTTTTGGCTCCACTTCATCCAAATGCTGTGGACCTAAGAACAGATAGGAGCTCTTCCTCCTGTGCCAGCTAATAAATAAGTAACCAAACCTCTTGCCAATCAACTACCTTGTGTGTGCCTTCCACTGTGCCTGGTAAGGCAGGTAATGAGATAGAAGAGGGATTCTGCCACCCAAGAAATGTGAGCACCAGAGGGTCCCAGTGACCCAAGCTGGAGAACCAGGTCTCAAAAGGATGAGTCCAGCAAGGGATGTCCTGAGAAACGGTACTTCCTGTCCCTTCGAGGGCTGAGACATAGCAAGGATATGAATTGGACACTGACCCAGCAATCTCCTTTCAAAGTGAGTGGTGCTGCTAAGTGCAGCAGCCCATGCCTGTAATCCCACCAGCTCAGGAGGCTGAAGCAGAAGGATCGTGAGTTCAAAGCCAGCCTCAGCAACAGCGAGGCACAAGTAACTCAGTGAGACCCTCTCTTTACATAAAATACAAAATAGGGCTGGGGATGTGGCTCAGAGGTTGAATGTCCCTGAGTTTAATCCCCAGTACCCCCGCAAATAAAGTGGGTGGTGCTGGGGAGAGCTGTGCCCTGGCGTCGAGTGGTAAAACTCAAAGGACATGGGTTGAGCCACACGGGGCCTGGGTTGTGTGACCTCAGATAACCTTATGGAGTTGGCTTTTCCATCCACAAAATGGTGGGGATTGATTTTTAATTGCTCAGGGTTGTGGGGAGGACTTAGTGACATGACATGTAAAAGTGCCTGAGACAAAAAAGAGGCTCAAGAAATCTTTAGCTTCCAGAAGGAATCTCAGTGGAAATGTGACAATTTTTTTTTTTTTTTTTTTTGGCAGGGGTGGGAGGGTGTACTCGGGATTGAACTCAGGGGCACTCGACCACTGAGCCACACCCCCAGCCCTATTTTTTGTATTTTATTTAGAGACAGAGTCTACACTGAGTTATTTAGCGCCTCAGTGCTGAGGCTGGCTTTGATCTCGTGATCCACCTGTCTCAGCCTCCGAACCTCTAGGATTACAGGCATGTGCCATTGTGCCTGGCCTTACTTTGTCTATCTCTTAGAGACAGGGTCTCACTGAGTTGCTTAGCACCTTGCCGTTGCTGAGGCTGGCTTTGAAGTCAAGATCCACCAGCCTTAGATTGCAGGCGTGCGCCACCATGCCCAGCAGAAACATAACAAATTGAGGGAGATGTCCATAGGCCCTTTCTGAAACTCTGTCCCATTTTGATTGGGCTGGTCTTCATGGACCCCTGCAGGCCCTTTCACTTCCCTGATGCCTGAGATGAAGTAAGGCCCCTGCTGCCTGACACTTGTCACAAACCTGACAGAAGGTCTCTTCTTCATGATCTGACTTGGGCCTCAGAATGCAACTGTGCTATTTCCATCTTGTATGTGATGACGCTGGGACTCAGAGGCCAGGCAACCTACTCAAGAGCTGGATTTGGCCATCCAGTCCCAAGCCTGTGTTCTTCAATGGGACACTGGAAGGAAGAAGAAGGAGAGGAAGTAACAGATGTTCTGTAGTGGTCCAGGCCTCACTGCATGCAGGAAGTAGGATTAAAGGTCCAGAAAAAAATCAATTCTGCCTTCTTCATCTCACCTCAGCCCTCCATATCTGTGGGTTCCACATCAACAGAGTCAACCAGTTACAGGTGGAAAATAGTTGAACATACATATACAATTGAACATGGACAGCCTTTTTATCATGATTTGTCATCCTTGTCATGATTCCCTAAACAATACAGCCTAACAACTACTGAAAATAATATTTATACCTGTAACCCCAGTGGCTCAGGAGGCTGAGGCAGGAGGATCACGAGTTCAAAGCCAGTCTCAGCAAAAGGCAAGGCACTAAGCAACTTAGTGAGATCCTGTCTCTAAATAAAGTACAAAATAGGGCTGGGGATGTAGCTCAGTGGTCGAGTGCCCCTGAGTTCAATCACCAATACTCCCCCCAAAACAGTAATTAAATTGACTTAACTAATATAAGTAATCCAGAGTAATCTAGAGATGATTTGTAGTATATGGGAGGATGTATGTAGATTATATGCAAACACTGTGCCATTTTATAGGAGGGGCTTGAACATCCAAAGATTTTGGTATCCTCAGGGGGTCCTGGAACCAATCCCCTGTAAATAGAGAGGGGTAACCATACCTCCCACACCAGGCCTTATTTTCCAACGTGAAGAGAAGCCAAGGAGAGGCAGAGTGGGCGGGCCATGAATGTACTGTGGGAGTAATGGGGGTCATGAGTTGGGAGAAGAGGGAACTCCTGCAAGGTCTTCTAGACTCTGGCACACAGCACCCACCTTGAAAAGCTACCCTGCCTTCCAGAGCTGGAAAACCAGGGCTTGGGAGAGACCAGGGTATTATCAGCTGGAAAAATTCCTGGAGGGGCTAGGGTTCTAGCTCAGTGGTACAGCACTCACCTAGCACATGTCAGGCACTGGTTCCATCCTCAGGAAGCCATGAGGGGCAGGGCCACATAGGAAATGAGGGGAGTGAGCAGTGTGTGAGATCCCTTTTATTTATTTATCTATCTATCTTTTGGTACTATGGATTGAATCCAGGGATACTTTATCACCAAGCTGGACCCCCAGCCTTATTTAATTTTTGAGACAGCATCTTATGAAATTGCTGAGGACCTTGCTAAAACTGCCCAGGTTGGCCTTGAACTTGTGTTCCTCCTGCCTCAGTCTCCAATGTCTCTGAGATTACAGGCATGCACCATCGCACCTGGTGGGGGACCCCTTTCATGGTGACAGAGTCATGTGATGACTGTGCAATGGAAGTAGCTAGGAGTCTGAGACTAGGAGATGCAGTCAGAGACAGAAACTAGAAAAGCAGAGACCCCACCTGTCATCCCTCATCAGACTCTGGTCCAATGTGTTATCCTTAAAGAAAACAGAGAAAATAAAACACCATGTCCCTGAATACCCCCTTCTGTTCCCTAAAACCTAGTCAAATAAAGGGAACAATGAAAGCAGGTCTGGGCTAGAATATCTGGATACATATTATCTTGAAGGACACTGATTTTCTCTCACGTATTCTGAGAATTAGGGCAAGTTAATGTTATCTGTAGAAAACGGCTTTCTTGAATGCATGCCAAGACAAGTGCCCCTTAAGGTGCTGATCATGCAATGGGACAAAACAAGCTAAACTGATGCTGCCTCTGTAACCTAACCTATAAACCTCCCTCCTTGCAGAAACTCAGGTGGACCAGGGCACTGTGGAGAGGGAAGTGCTCATCCAGGCTGCTGCCCCTGGGCAAAGCACTGTGAGCAGGAAGAGATGCTACTTTCTAGTGAGATACCCAGGGTACTGCATGGAGCAGAGCTATTCCTGTCCAGCCCATCACCACTGGAGTTTTTGGTGAGGTGCCAAAGGCACTGCTTGGAGCAGAGGTACATCTGTCCAGCCCAACACGACTGTGTCCTCCTCGTGAGCATTTTTCAATAAACTACATCTCATATCCCATCTCCAGGGTCTTCCTTGGTCTCTTTGCAACCTGTCCCACTGTCATAGCACAACTGGGCAGTAAAGAATATGCGCAGAGAACAGAGGCAGAGACATTTTTCAAAAACAAATTAGTGCCCAGAACTCAAAGATGAAGGAGTAACAGCAGGGCTTAGGAGTTGTCACTAAGAAACTCCCTAGCCTTCTGGTCTACTGTTTGTCATGCACACCTAAGATGCATTGAAATAGCAATTGGGGGGGCCACACACTCAAAGGCGCCTGGATTCTTTTTGCAGGGGAGGGACCAGCTGCACTCTCCACTCAGTAGTTCTTGGACTTTGCAGCTTGTTGCCATACACTGAGGGCTTGGACAGTGATTAACCAGTCAAAAAGTCACACCTCTGATCTTTATTTAGAAAGTGAAAACAAACGTATGGAATGATGCTTCTGAAAACAAAATAATAATTTAAATGCTTACTTTTTTTTTCCTAATGCTTCCACTTTGCAAATTTGTATTCTGAAAGTTCACTGTGCTTAAGTTGAAATGAGTGTTGCGTGAAGGACTAGAAAAGCTTCAGAGAGCTCGTAATATGATCAAAACCTTTAGCTGTGACTGTGACTTTTTCGGGGGGGGGGGAGTTGTTAGGGACTGAACCAGTGGTGCTTTGCCACTGAGCTATATCCTCAGCACCAGCCTTTTTTTTTTTTTTTTTTTTTTGAGATAGGGTCTCCCTAAGTTGCCCATGATGGCCTCTAACTTGTATCCTCCTCCTTTAGCCTCTGGAGTCTCTGTGATTACAGACATGTGCCACCACATCCAGACTCTCCTATGACTTTGAACAAGTACCTCAAATCTCAGGTTCCCAGACATTGCTTGTCATACGAAGTCCTTTATTTATTTTCTCTCTCCTGAGCACCTCTTTTGTGGATGTGTAAGGCTAAGTCTCTCTTCTTTTTTCCCCTTGCCTAAACTTTAGGCCTCTGGCAGCTTAACCCTTCTGAAGGTACCTGAGCTAAAGGCAAGAATGGTTTTCCTTCAGTATAGAGCCACTGCCAGGCTCAAAATCTCCCTTTCATCTGGGCGCTCCTCTGCTCGAAAACTTCCCATGGCTCCCCATTGCTTGCAGCATAAAATCCAAATTCTATCCAGGCCTTTTGAAATCTGGCCAGGCCCACCTATCTGACCTTATTCACCGTTCACACGGTTCACTCTGTTCATCTGTGACATAGATTCTGTGTGTCCAACCTCCCCTCTGCCTCTGCTCATGCTCTTCTCTCCATCTAGACTGTCTTTCTTTTCCTCCATTTCCCCTCCACTTACCCCAGTTCATCATTCAAGATCCTCCGCCAATCAAAGCCCCAGGGAACTTCCTCAAATGCCCCAGTTTGTATTCGGGTCTCCCTTCCGGAAGCCCACAGCATTTTCACGTGTGTGTACACGTTTATTTGGCGATCCCAAAGCCTGCAACCCTGTGCCTCGAATGTGTGTCCTATGTTAGGGCAGTGGACACTTAAAAGTCATTTCTCCTCTGGGAGCATTTCCAGACAAAAGCCCTGCTCCTCGAGGGTTCGGGAGCTCTTCTATCCAAACCCTCTTTGCCTGTCTTATGACAGACAGTCATTACTCCCGCCTGATTGCAAGCAGCTTGGGGCAAGTGTGGTGCCCGACTCTGCCTGGGGTGTCCCAGGCCCAGTCCAGTCCCATAATTGTGTTAACCGGTCGGAGCAATGCGAGGACCTGGGAGTGACCCTTCGGTGGCATCTAAGTCCAGGTTTGGTTCCCAGCTGAGCGCATCGTGCCAATGGCTCTCTGGCCCAGGTGGAATGGAGATTGCCACGTGGTGGTCTTCAGCATAGAAGGGGTTAAGCCACCATCTCTCTCCCACCCCCGAAAGGCGAGGGGGCGAGTCAGGCAGAAGGTCCTGTTTACCGTGGCTCCCCTCGGCGGCGGGCCCTGGGAGAGGGGTTGCCGTGGCAACCGGCCGGGCGCCCGCCAGCTGCGGATTAGCTCACTGGAGCCGGGGCGGGATGGGTCGGGAGGAGGGGGCGCGCGTCACGGCAGATCGTCGCCGCGCCGCGAGAGGAAGAGGAAGGGGCAGCCCGACGAGTCAGTTCTCGGCTGGCGGGAGGGGCGCCGGGCGGCCCAGAGGAGCGCGCCGCCGAGGCCTGGGGCGGTGGGGACCCGACGAGAGCGCGCGGCGGGGACCCCAGGGGCTCGCCGGCGGCCGTGCGAGGCCGCGCGGACAAAGGCGCGGAGGGCTGCGGGCCATGGCGCCCTGGGCTCCCGCCACCGCCCGGCCCCGCGCCGAGCCGCCCTCCGCCCCGGCGCCCCCGGACGTCCCCGAGATGCACCCCGAAGCCCGCGGAGCCGCCGCCCGCGGGGAGGTAGGGCGGGGCCGGGGGAGCGGGGTGAGCTGGGGGACCTAGCAGGGCACTGGAGGCCGGAGGCAGGAAACGGCTCGAGTTGCCCGAACCCGGAGTTGGGAAGTGGTTCTCTGCAGACCGCGGACGCTGGGCTCTGGCGGCCGGCGGTGGGGACGCAGAGGCGCGGTCCTGCGGGGCGCTTCAGCCCGCCCGCGGACTTCAGCAAAGTGCGATCCAGACCTCCTCCCGGGTCGGGAAGCCGCCGTCCCTCGCCCGGAGACCTGCAGAACTGGGCGGGGTCCTCGCACTACGCGGTGCTGGGCCACAGGGGACGTGAGTGTGAGTGCGCGTGAGTGTGAGTGCGCGCGGGTGCGCTCGCGGGGGGAAGATTGGGGCGCCTGAGCAGCCAGCCCCCACCCCCTCGCTGTGGTAGGAATTTGCAGTCTTGGGGAAGCTGGAAGGTAAAGATGATTGAATCTTACTTCTCCCTCTTTTTCCCTAAGGATGGAGTTGGGAACAGATGAAGTCTAGGGGAAGTCTCTTAACAACACAGGATATAATCAAGTTTACGAGGGTCACAGGGATCTGGATTCTGACCACCGAGCAGAACCAAGACCTGTGGAATCCTGTTGTGAGCAGCCAGGACAGGAAGCTGAGAGTGCGCAGTAGGGCCGTGGATTGGAGCAGGGGAAGATTTCACCCGCTGGTGCTGGGGAAGGAGCAGGCAGACTTCTGGCTTGTGCTCAGAGGGCTTCAAGGGATGACTTAAACACCCCAGATGAGGTTGGGTAATAATGGGGCGGGGTGATAGGGTTACAATAGACACTCTATAGTAATTTGTTATTGAATGCTTATACTCTCTGTGGTTACTACATAAAATTAAAAAAAAAAATCATTTCTCCTTGCAATGTGAAACATCCAGAGTGGAGTAGAAAGTTTTGGGGGTGGGAGGCATAGAATGGAATTCTGAGAGGAAGTCCAGGGCAAACGGAGACATTTTTACAGCCCCTTTTATTTTTTATTTTGAGATAGGGCCTCCCTAAGTTGCTGAGGCTGGCCTTGAACTTTCTCCATCCTCCTGCCTCAGCCTCCTGAGCCCCTGGGATTCAGGTGTGCTGGCTAGAGACCGTGTTTTGAGGCAGGACAACAAAAAGGCTGGCAGAGGGGCTGGTGTCCTGTCCTTTATTCTGGGATAATCGAACCCTGTCTGAGCCATGTCTTCAACACAGGGATGAAGAATACCTCTTCCATCTTTCCAGGAACTCATCATCCTGACTGAGTAGTGAAGCAAAATTAAAACTTGGTCTGACCTGGCTGCGAGTAATCCAGCCACAGAGTGAGAAAGACCAGAGGAGGGACCCCCAGCTCATGGAAGGCCCACAGAGAGCTGATGCTTGGGCCGAACCCTGGAAACTTCTCTACAGAGAAAACAAAGCAGTCAAGGTTGTTTCAGCTTTGTTGAACAGTGAATGTAAAGTCACTGAGATTCGGCAAGCCTGCAGTGTGGAAGAGTGTGTGTGTGTGTGTGTGTGTGTGTTGGGAGGGCTTGGGGGAAGGCAGGGCAAGGAAGGCTCTTCAGGAGGAGGAGTTCCCAGGGGTCAGATTTGTGTCTTAGAAAGCTCACTCATTGTTGGGTGGAGACCTGGAGGAGGATGAGACCAAATCTTTGCAACATCCAGACCCGGATTCTTACTGAGCAGGGTGACAGCAGTGGTGGGGCAGGAGAGGACAAAAGGATTCCCAAGGTCAAGAGGTAGGCACTGCTGTGGACTGTTTTGGGCGCAGGGTGAGGTAACTTAGACTAAAATCAAGTACAAAAATGCCCAGGAGAAAAAGCAAAGCAAAAGGAGTGGACATTTTGAATGGCCCAAATTGAGCAGATCACAATACTTGGACAATGAATTTGGCTCTAAGTTTTCTGGCAACTTAGGAACAAACAAAAATACACTGGATTGCATAGTTTTGGATTTGGGACAACAGAAAGCATACAAATTAATTTTCAGAACAAGATTTTTTCTTGGAATTGAACTCAGCTGGGAGTTTATCAAGGGAACTTTATGTAAAGACTAAGAGAGTGACATAGAAAAAAAAGTCTTCATTGTATAAACAAAACAAAAATATGGATAATACAATAAAAAGGAAAAAAATCATTATTGGTGTTACAAAAGATAGCAAGATAGAACTGCACATGACTTGCTTCCGATGCCATCTGCCTCTTAGGACTAGAGGAGCGTACTTAGGGCTGTCAGCTTTGGGTGTGGACAGTCATGACACAGAACTGCTAGAGCCAGAGAACCCGGTAGAGAGCAGACAGTGGTCACTCAAGGGAAGAAGTGACATCTACTTCTGTGAATATAGAAAGCAAAACCCCCCAGGATGCCCAACCACAAGGGAAGAAGACACATCCTGCGTGGCCGTAGGTGGGTGGGCTGAGACTCCTGGAGAAGGGGCCAGGCAGGGCCTCTGGCGTTGGCAGAGCTAACACCCAGGAATCCTGACCAACAGGGCAACAGGCAAGTGGGGTGGGAGCAGCATTTAGGGCTGCTAATCCACTTCCCAGGGTGGTCCAGGTCTTTCTGCACCCAGACCTGACATTTAGCCTGCATTTAAGGGAGCGGGATTTTGAAGACCAAAGATCCCCTCCCAGGGGAGGACGG